TTTAATTTATGTGAACATTGCTCTCGGCATGTCATTTGCACTGTATTCTGATACGGCATTTTTCACACTGCAACCGCTGTACTTGTTTGAATTGGGATTTTCTAAAGTAAGTGTCATTTCGTTCTAAAACGGAAAATGTGTTTTGATTGTAAATCACTTTGAACAGACTGATGCTGCGATGATAATTGCGATGGGAGCGGCTGCTGATTTATTGAGTCGTGTTTTCATGGCTGTGATGAGTTTGTGCGTTCAAGTCAAAGCACGTTATATTTATTTGGCTGGCGCATCGTTGACTTGCATTGCACGATTTGGTCGGTTGTATTTTTTTTCTACCTTCAATCAGAAATTTCAATGTAAATATTTGATTCTAGTATTTTTGAATGTATTCGACTTTGTTGGAATGGCAGTGATAACAGCATTACTTGGCTTCTTTCGAACGTGGATCCACGTTCCTTTGCCATTAGTGTTCGCAGAATACTTATCGCAAGAAAGGTAAGTGCAAACAGTTGATAAGAATAAGAACGAGTTAGCATATCAAATCAATTTTAGATTCCCCTCTGGTTACGGCCTATTCATGTTTATTTGTGGTAACATCACCTTTTTAGTCGGTCCGTTTGTCGGTAAGTTAGAAATTGCCGTAAATTACTGTCAGCAAATTTCATTTTCAATTTTACGGATTTTGTACAAATATTAATGTTATAGGCTGGATTCGAGATATAACCAAAAATTATGCCATTTGCTTTCATTTGCTTACATTTATAATGGGATTGTGTGCCATTCCATGGATCATTGAAATCATTTGGATTCGAATTCAATCGAGAAAATCTGAAAAATGAACAGCAGCATTTTTAATTTTTTATGATTTAGTAACTTCTTGTAATAGGATATGCGGCAATCATCCTCTGGCATATCCCATGTGAGCTTCGAATAAAAGAAAAACACCTCCCTGAACAATTTTTCCTGAGAAATCAAACTAATTTAGACATACAAATGAATGAATTGTATCAATCAGCTGAGAAACACGCAAGTCATTTAAAATAAGAAAAAACGCGTTACAATTTGTTAATCTCCTTGAAACGTGTGTGCGATCGATGACTAATATTATATCATCAAGACCAGTCTAGATCAAATTATCCTAACAAGTTCCATTTTTATGAATCATTTCGATTAATATAAAGTTCCACCGACACACATTTTCTACCTTTACATATTAATTGGAATGCAGAGTGAATGAAAAGCTAGGGGGTATACCCCATTTTTTTCATCTTTTATATCCACACGCATCAAGTAATAACTTAGAAATTCAATGGTATGCATGTAAATCCGAAATATCCATGTATATTCAACAATATTCATCGTGAACGACAAATGAATATTACTGAATATACAAAGATATGTCAAATTTACGTGTATACGTATGAAAAATAAAAATAATAGTGAATTAATCCTTCAACCGTAAATTTGAACGATTTTGGTAGATAACGGTGAATATTGGAAATTTTTTTGACATTACAGTCTAATGAATATTATTAAATATGCATAGATATTTGAGATTGACGTGCATACCAGTAAATTAGTGCAGATTGTATAGTCAAAAAATGTTCCAATTCACCGTAATCCACCAAAATCTGCCAAAATCCTTCGAAAGTGGTTCAAATTTTCGGTTGAAGGTTTGATTCACTATTATTTTTATTTTTTCAGAGTTATTTGCGTTCTGCAAAATCACGTGAGGCCCCTAGATGAAAAGTATCAACAAATCTAAAAATAAATGTTGATGTTATTTTTATTAATAGACTTTACGAAATTCATCGAAAATACAAATTCATTTTCACGTAAGTCGCGCGATTTTACTCATTTAAAGCCCACGTCAATGAATTGTATCAATCGTTGCTGAATGAAAAACAACGCGAAATTTCTGCCAAAAAAAATTCTTTGCGTCATTCGGTTGGATTTGTTTAAAGATTTTTGTTTTGTATAAATACTGAGTTGCATCGTTTGGATCGTTAGTCAGATACAAAGTGTGTACCAAAACAAACGCTACTGCCAAAAACGAGTTGGTGAAAATTTTGTTCATAAAAGTTATAGAAGAAAAAAAAAGTGAAAATGTCGCGATTTTTGGATGATGTTGATTTCTTTGGTTCACGCTACCACTATGTCGATCGACCAAGACATTATCCAAGCGCCGACATTCCATTTAGACGTACTCTGCGGTGTTACAGAGACGCTGATGATTACTTGAATCCACGAATCTACGAGAAAACTGGAACAACATCGATTCCCGTTAACAAGGATTATTTTGAAGTTTGCATCGACGTTCAACATTTCAAGCCAGAGGAAATTTCGGTTAAAGCAGAAAAGAACTCTGTTGTAGTGCAGGCTAAACACGAAGAAAAACAAGATGAACATGGATTTGTGTCACGACAATTCATACGAAGATATAATTTACCAGATGGTTATAAAAGCGAAGACGTCGTTTCTAGCCTCTCATCTGATGGCATTCTTTCCATCAAATGCGCCACTCCAGTGAAAGTTGAAAGTACAGAAGAACGCCAAGTGCCAATCAAACAAACTCATCTACCATCGAGCGCCAAGAGCAGCGAGGAGAAGAAGGATGGAAAAGAAACACCAGTAGCATAAGAATGTGTTTGTGTGGTTCATTTTTAATCTCAGTGTTTTGATTTGACTTTTATACTGCGTGTAGCTCTAAGAGTTTTTTTTTAAGCAATATGTATTCAACCAATCGTTTTTTTATCAGAAAAAATAAAGACGAATGAGATCGATCTTTTATAAATGAATTGAAAAGTTTTTCTTTAATACTTTTGTCACCAATGATTGTCGTCAGTTAATCGTTGTGAACAGCTGTGAATTTTTTGCGGAACATTTCATTAGAATTTTTAATATTTCTGTTGCATTTGTATTCCATTTTCGATTTGATTTATTTTACCAAAGACTGGATTCGATGCAAAACTCAAAAAAATGCCGTTTTCTTCCAATGGATTATGCCTTCCATTCGCTTACACTCGTAATGGAATTATATGCCGTTGCGTGGAATGACGTGGATTCAAATTTAAGAAATTAAAAAGAAAACGTCGACATAACTAATATTGATATTTGGCTTAGCAGTTTCTAGTAACAAAAGCTGTGTGATAAGAAGAATAATGTCAATCTCAATATATCTAGCTACCAAGCCTATCTAACAAAGTGATTTAATTTTTATCCGCAATATAATTTCAAATGGTATTGAATTTTTTCTTGTGTTTGAAGAATTCCGCTGGAATAGATTTGCAGCTGTCTGTGCAAAGATAAGGGGATACGTCAAAGATTTTATTAGATTATTTTATCAACGAAATCAAATGGGAATAATGTAAGTTGAAAGTCAATTTAGTACCATTTTGTAAGTAGTGCCGCACTGAAGATGACGGGGATTTCACAGAAAAGGAGTTTTCGTACTGAAAAACGGCCACCAGAAGGAGGATGGGGTTTGATAAAAGTTTTATCTTTCTCAATATCTTATTAATATGTTATGAAATATATTTCAAAAAAAAAATCTCTAATAAAGTGGTCAACGAACGTTATATTGTGTTATCTTATTGAAATCCAATCAAATTGTAGGTTTCCTCATTGGTGTCGGTGTGGCTATACCAATTGTAAATATCCCGTTGAAAATATTTTTCGAAGTACAAAATTTTTCAAATAAGAAATTCAATATTATCAGGCGTGTATTACGGGCAGTTTATCGTCATTTGGATTGATGTTCAATGATTTTATAACCAGTTGCGGGAGTGGCACAAGCGCGGTGACTATAATCAATGGCGTCTTCTTTAGTTCAATTAGCTTCTCGGGTTTATTTGCGAGTTCTTTATTCAAAAAGTACTCAATGCGATCCGTAGGAATATTCGGCGCTTCGATTTACATTCTTGGGAGCCTTATGACGATATTTGTTATTTCAGTTGATCAATTGATTGTTTCGTTCGGTGTTCTACAAGGCAAGTACCGTTTTGAAAGCTTAAATTTTCCGACTCATTGGAAAACGTAATGAAATATATTTTAGGCTTCGGATTTGGTATGATGGTTCCGGTCTATTTTACCACGTTCAACCGGTATTTTGTTCAAAAGCGAGTGTTCATGATGAGTTTAGCGCAGACTTTAACCGGCATATGCACGATGTCATATCCGTTGGTGGTGGATTTTCTGTTCAATAAATACGGTTTTCGTGGCATGATGGCGGTCATTGCAGCGATGAACGCGCATGTGATGTTCGCAATGATAGCAATGCATCCAGTCGAATGGCACTATAAAGTGGTCGAAATACCCATTGAAGACGCAAAACCATGTAAATAAATTCATTCTTTCCATTTACTTTGAAATCACATAAAAAATGCAATCGTTTTGGTTTTAGTAATGGATGCAAATGACAATGAAAATGAAAAAGGGAAAGAGAAAGAGAAAGAAGAAGAAGAAAAGGGAAAAGAAGAGAAATCAGAAGCAATGTCAGGCGATGAATTCGATGAATCTGAACTGAATCATTTACCGCCTCATGCGAAGAAGAAACCACGTTTTAGTGTGCCAAATGGAGAATCGATTAATTCCAACACGAAATATGAACGCAGTAAATCTCTTATCCCCGGACAAGAGCTCGACGGTTTTAATCCGGTTCAAAGACGCGTTTCAAGTATTATGAGCCTCGGTCAATTTGGTGCTGCTATCTATTCACAAGAGAGTTTGGAATCGGTGAAAAATGGGAAATGGTATGATGCAGCGACCACAAGAGAAAGAACTATTTTTTTTCGGATGAACAACTAAATTTTGTCATTTTTAGGCAAAAAGTGGTCGACTTTCTTGATTTGAATCTTTTGAAAGATTTTGTTTATATGAACATTGTTTTTGGACTTTCCTTTGCCTTGTACTCAGATGCCTCATTCTTCACATTACAACCGATGTACCTGTTCGAATTAGGATTCTCGAAGGTTGGAAATGAAACACTAAACAATGATCAGTGCTTTATGTAGGCTGACACATTAATTATACCGTTCAAATTTTTCTTTTTTTTTTTCTGCGCAGAGCGACACGGCAAAGATCGTTGCGGTCGGCGCTGCTGCCGACATGTTTAGCCGCATGTCGTTGGCGGTCATAAGTTTTTTCATCGCATTTAAAGCACGTCACGTTTATTTGGCCGGCGCGGTTGGCACGATTACTTTTCGATTTGGTACGTTTCAATTATTAGAATGTTTGAATGAAACTATCGTCATTCTAATTGTGAATTTTTCATCATTTTTTTTAAGTGTTTTTGAACATACACAATTATATCGGTATGATTATTATAACCGCAATCCTTGGCTATTTACGAACGCTAATGCACACGCCGTTGGCTCTGGTTTTCGGAGAGTATTTGCCACAAGAGAGGTGACTAATGCCCTTTTGATGATTTTGAATAATATCTCAATAGAGACAATACAACTTTCTTTCAGATTTGCTTCCGGTTACTCACTGTTCATGCTGTTCCAAGGAAATTTCGCCTTTTTGGTCGGACCAGTTATCGGTTGAGATTCATATATGCTTAAATTCATCAAATGAACATTTGATTTTATCATTATAATTCTGATTTTAGGTTGGATACGAGATGTAACTAAAGATTATATCATTTGCTTCCATTCGCTCACCTTCATATTGGCCTTGTGTGCCATTCCATGGATTATCGAAATCATTTGGCTACGAATTTATCGAAGAAAAGATAACGCCATTTCTAACTGAATGTTATGTAAATGCTTTTCTCTCTTTCACGCTGCACGTATTTAGCAAGACACTATAGCTTAGGGTGACAAAGTTGGTGCAAATATTTCAAATCGCATCACTGAAGATAAGAGAAAAAAGATTCCATTATAAATCACTCAAGTACATGAAGCTGTTTCATTTTATCTTGTGGAGAAAATTTTCATGCATATTATCAAGAGGCCTCATAATTAAACGTCTAGATTTGGCAATGTTATGCTTTATCAAAAGAAATTGTAATCTCTACATTGTACAAAATTAGATAATTAAAACTCTGTGCTGCAATTAAAATGTTTTGGTTGCTCACATTTTGGTTTTTAGTCTTTTTCTGTCTCGACCCATTTTGAGTGAGTAAATTTTAAGAACCGAAATGAGCCAGTCTGATGAAAAACAAAAATTTCGTATTGAAAAAATCGCGCCGGACGGAGGATGGGGATATGTCATTGGAATTGGTAAACATTTTGTGAAAAACAATTTTATAATTCGTGCTAAATAAATGTTAACGGCTCCATATTTTGATTATTTCAGGTATCGCACTACCTTTTGTACGTTCTTTAACTGAACTTATTTTGACTTCATTTTTACTCGAAAAAATTGAAAATGCGAACGATTTCTTCCTTTCAGGCTTGTAGCTTAGGCAGTTTGTCTTCATTTGGATTGATGTTTAATGATTTCATCACGAGTTGCAACGGTGGTACCAGTTCCGTGACGATAATAATGGGCATCTTTTTCTGTTCGCTTAGTTTTGCCGGCTTATTTGTAAGCACTCTTTCTCGAAAGTTTTCGTTGCGGAACATAGGCGTATTTGGTGGAACCATCTACTTTGTGGGTGGTTTGATGGTGGTTTTTGCTACCTCTGTTGAGCACTTATTGATTGCTTTTGGCGTTTTTCAAGGTTGTTTATTCTTAAAATTCATTTTTTTTATGTATTTTAGTTCATTTTATGAAAATTTTGAATATTCAAATCTTCTTCAAACTGTAGGACTAGGAGTGGGCTTCATAATAAGCATTGGATACTCCACTTTTAATCAGTATTTCGTTATAAGACGGGCCAGCATGATGGGTGCAGCACAGTTTTTGGTTGGCATTGGCACGATGCTGTATCCAATGTTTGTTCAATATTTGATGGAAACATACGGGTTTCGTGGTGCGATGGCTGTGATTGCTGCGTGTAATGCTCATGCCATTTTCGGAATGCTTGTTATGCATCCCATTGAATGGCATCACAAAACGATCAAAGTCCCTGTTGAAAAAGAAGAAGAAGAAGAAGAAGAGCGATGTAATTTATTTTTATTTTCTTAGTCAAGCCCTTTAAATGCTAGAGTTTTCATAAGCAAATCAATTCAATTTTAGTGATGATTTCAACCGAAAAGCAGTCTGCGGTCAAAATTACTGTGATATTGAAGGAAGATGAAAAACAAACGATCGACCCAGAAAATCTAAATCGATTCAGTGTACCAGACTTGGTTGAAAATATGAAACAAAATGACGCGATCATTCTGAAAAATAAACGAAGTAAATCGCTGGATCCAAATGGATTTAACGATCTTAAAAGTCGTATTTCAAGCATTATGAGTTTGAACGAAATGAGTGGCGATATTATTATGAACAATGACCGAGCACAAAACGGAAAATGGTAGAATTAAATGATTAAATCAGAGATATAAACTCATAACATTTATTTTTGATGTTTTAGGAAAAAAGTGGTCGATTTCCTGGATTTAACTCTTTTGAAAGATTTGGTTTACGTGAATATCGTTCTCGGTACAACATTTGCCCTGTATTCGGATAACTCATTTTTCACACTCGAACCGATGTATCTGTTCGAATTGGGATTTTCCAAAGTAAGTACCCAATCTTCACCATGCATAAAGTCTCCTGTAGTAATAATGTATAGTAAAAATGGTAACCGGCCAAAATGAAAGGTTTAAATTGATCATCAACAAGCTTAAAGCTTTAATTTCGACTTTGATTGTGGCCAACCAAAGTGCTTTTAATTGCAACGAGCTTATCATATTGATAAATACTTTAAACAGGCTGACACAGCGAAAATAATATCAGCCGGAGCAGCTGCGGACCTCAGCTCAAGGTTATTTTTAGCCGTTACAAGCTTTTTCATTCAAGTTAAAGCGCGTTACGTGTATTTAGCCGGTGCTATTGCGACGATTTTCGTTCGTTTCGGTAAAGGGATAAACACTATTTAAATTGCGCGTAAATTGAATTTTATCACCATTTATTCTAGTATTTCTCACCGTATCCGACTTTTACGGAATGGTAATTGTGACGGCAGCTATGGGCTTCTTCCGCACGTTCGTTCACGTTCCGTTAGCACTTGTTTACGGAGAATATTTGCCACAAGAAAGGTAATAACGATTTGTTAGTATTTTTTTTTTATGTAAAGTAGTCATAAAATGAAGAAAATGTTTGACTGAGACTTTTTAAAAATGGTTTCTTCTAGATTTCCATCCGGCTATGGGTTATTTATGTGCGTATCCGGCAACATCGCTTTTTTAATATCTCCATTCATCGGTTGGATCCGTGATGTGACTAAAAGTTATGTTATTTGTTTCCATTCGCTTACACTGCTCATGGCTTTGTGTGCAGTTCCGTGGCTAATTGAAATAATTTGGCTTAAGCTACACCCTAGGAAGACTGAAAAGTGAAGGTCATTTTTGTTTGTGATCGATAATAAATTGTCGTTGATAAAATGTTTCCAATTAAAAAAGAGAAAAATGTTTTTAAAACGGAAAAAAACGATTGTTTTATTGCCGCAATGTAAGAATAAGATTAATGATAAAACAAATAGCTCAAGTTGTATTCAGCAAGTCACATCACGATGAATGAATGAAAATGTTTTATCACCAAGTTGGAGGTGAATACCGGTTATAAATCAAAAATGAAACATCTCCGAACAACGTCATTGTTATTTCTATGCTCGGATTGTTGTATTTGAGTTTGCGTTCAATTGACGATAAACAAGAAATTATTGCTGGATTCAGATAATTTTATCTAAAAGAAATTTAATCTAAATATGTGGTGGCAGATAAACGGTTGATGCGTCAAGCAGAGTGTAAAATTCCAGTAGCTTACGGTGCACTTAGTCGATTGGAACATTTTCTACTAGTTGTGGTATTATTATTAGCTGAGAAGCAAATATGGATAGCATTGACACAGAAAAGCAGCAAAAATTCCGAACGGAAAAAGTGGCCCCTGAAGGTGGCTGGGGTTATTTGATTCCATTTGGAATTGCAATACCTGCGGTAAATATAGAATTGTGCGAAATTCCATTCAAAATTATGTAATTCTTATCATCTTTCAGGCTTGCAGCATAGGCAGTTTTTCATCATTTGGATTGCTGTTCAATGATTTTCTCGATGAATTGGGTGCTGGAACGTCTGCTGTTACCATTATCACTGGTTCTTACTTCAGCGCATTCAGCTTTGCAGGCCTATTTGCGAGTAGTTTATTCAAGAAATTCCCAATGCGAAACATCGGATTATTTGGCGCAGCTTTATTATTTCTTGGTAGTTTGATGACAGCATTTGCAACATCCGTTGAACACTTGATCGTTTCGTTTGGTATTATGGAGGGAGCTGGAGTACGTTCAACCGGCTATATAATAGTTTAATGATTGAAATTCATTTTGAACATATCCAATTCATCAAAATTAGATCGGCTTTATGATTCCTGTGGCGTACACGTCGTTCAATTACTATTTCGACAAAAGACGTGTCTTCATAATGAGCTTAACTCAAACACTGAAAGGATTTATCATCATGTCATATCCAATAGTCCTCCAATTCCTAGTGGCTGAATACGGTTTCCGTGGTGCAGCATTGGTGGTAGCGGCTTTGCATGGTCACGCATTTTTCGGAATGATTGTTATGCATCCAATCGAATGGCACTATAAAACTGTTAAAGTTCCAATCGATGAAGATGAACCTTGTAACTATTTGCATTTACATTTTAACCCATTTATTATCTTTTTGCAATTTTTTCTAACCGTTTTGTGAACTCGTAGTAATGGATTCGAATGAGAAAATTGATGAAGTGAAAGTCATTTCAATGTCATTGAATGACTGTGAAATGAAGCCAATTGCAGAAGAAACGTCAATCTCAGTTCAGGACATTGAAATGGTTGCCGATGATACAAAGATTACATTTAAACGAAGCATATCACTTGATGCAACGCAAAAACTGAATGGATTTGATCCAATAAAAAAACGCTTTTCAAGCATTATGAGCTTAGGAGATTTGATTGGTGATGCCATTATAACGGAGTCATATGGTCACGTTAAAAATGGAAAATGGTACCGAAGCGAGTGAAAAGTTTCATGTAGAAAACAAGTGTCACATCGATCTATTATTTTCCTCATTCCAGGCAAAAGATAGTCGAATTTCTAGACTTAACTCTCTTCAAAGATTTAATTTACGTAAATATTGTGCTGGGAAATACATTTGCATTGTATTCAGATAGTGCATTCTTCACATTATTGCCGATGTACATGTTTAAACTGGGATTTGACAAGGTATAAATTTGGTTCTATTACCATTTTATTAAAGAATCAGGTGGTATTATCAATAAGTAACAAACATGAATATCTCTTTTTATACCAGTATTATTATTTTGGTTTATGAATATTTTTGCGGTTGTTTAATGCAATTTAGTTTCAACTTTAATCAACTCATCAAAAATCCATTAGTTCCATGATAAATTTATTCTGTACATTCAGTTTAATTTGGTTATTAAGCACTAAATTTCTTTTTTTTTTTTCTTTTATTATCAACACTTTGTATCAGCCCGATACAGCGTTGGTAGTGTCAATTGCAGCTGCGGCCGATTTAGGATCGAGAATTTTTCTGGCACTTTCAACTTTTTGTGTTCAAATCAAAGCACGTAATGTCATTTTAATTGGAGTGATTGCTACAATAATCTTTCGACTAGGTATGTATTGAATAGACGCAAACTATATTTAAATAAAATTGTATTTAGTTTGATAACATACGATAACAAAAACTTGAATTTCTTGTTAGTGTTTTTGACGATAGATAGTTTCAGTGGCATTGTGGCGGTTGTTATAGTACTCGGATTCTTCCGCACATTCCTCCAGTGAGTGTAAATAATAATTATTTATATAATTTAATGGAATAATTTGTAAATATTTTATCACACAGCGTTACTGTGCCACTCGCTTTTGCCGATCACTTGTCACACACACGGTAAGAAAGAAAACTCTATTCAATATTTCAGTAATGGAATGCGTTTTTAAATTCATTATTCGAATTTGAATAAAATATCTCTGAATAAATGAAATCCAATTCATTTTTTCAGATTTGCATCTGGCTATGGACTGTATATGTTTTTGCAGGGAAATTTTTCTTTTATCATAGCACCTTTTATCGGATATATTCGCGATGCAACTCAAAGCTATGTTATTTGCTTCAATTCACTTACTTTCATCATGAGCTTATGTGCGATACCGTGGATTATTGAAATGATATGGTTTCGATTTAATCTTCGACAAATAAAAAACGAAACCGATCAACCACCTAATTTATGAAAAAAAAAAGAAAAAGAAAAAAACAGAGAATAAGTTTTCCACACTATATTAAACAAGTCAGCGTGACAAAATTGGATTTACAAATGTTTCGTTTAGAATAAAAATTGGATTAGCCGAAACCGCCCTATTTGCATATGGCTTCGTTTTGGTCTCGTTTATTCGAGGAAATTTAATGTTTTTAATTTCGCCGATTTTCGGATGGATTCGAGATGTGACTCAAAGTAATATCATCTGTTTCTATACACCTACTCTGCTCATGTGTTTGTGCGACGTTCCTTGGACTGCTGAAATGCTTTGGTTTCGATTTCATCCTCGAAAAATCAAAAAATAAACTGACTACACCTCGAATACGTTCTTCATACTATATTCAGCGAGTCACCATTACGAAATCAGATTACAAATAGATGTTTATTTAGCGATTAAGGAGCATTATAATTTTAATTATAAAAGGCAGCATTACCAACTGATTTGTTTCTATTCAGCTCGAAGCTTCTAATGATTTCAATTGTTTTTTTTATTTAAACAAAATTCGAGAGCAAATATCTACATGTGATAGATAAAATAGAAATGTTACATATTGTACCTTATGACCATTACTTGCTTAATTTTTATCTTGACAGATTAAATCTTGAAGAAAATTAAATTAGATACATGTTCACGAGTTCTGTATGATTTCATTAGCTTGAATTGCGTTCAGTTTATCGACAGATTTTCAAATTGTAAGCTAGTCAAAGGAACAGCGAAATGGGCGATTTGACCGAAGAACTTAAGTTTCATACTATAAACGTGGCACCAGAAGGAAAATGGGGATATTTGGTTGCGATCGGTAATATTTTTTTCGTAGTCATGAGATGATCTTAATAAAAATATTGTTATTTATTTTCAATTAATTTAATTAATCCTGATTTGTTTCCTATAGGATTGGCGATTCCTGGCGTAAGTACTTCTTACAATTTTGGCTTGGAAAAATTTAAAATGACAAAATTGAAATTATACCTAAAATCATTCCGTAGGCATGTTTTTTGGGTACTTTTGCATCGTTTGGGTTGTTGTTTAATGATTTTCTTAAAAGCATCGGAGCTGGCACAAGTGCGGTCACCACGATTTTCGGATTCATTGCAATTTCTATGAGCGCTTCAGGCTTGATCGCCAGTTCGTTGATAAGAAAGTTCTCACTACGATCAGTTGGTCTGTTGGGCGCAATAATGTATACTCTAGGCAATTTTCTGTCGGCTTTTGCACTTTCCGTTGAACACTTGATCATTTCGTTTGGTGTTTTCCAAGGTAATGGCATATATCATTGTGGACATTTTTGGGTTAATTTCAATTTTAACGAATTTTCTTGCATTCAAATTGGAAACACAGGTTTTGGCATTGGATTAATTCTTAATGTCGGTTATACCAATTTCAATTACTATTTCGTTAAAAGACGTGTCTTCATGATGAGTGTAACGCAAGTGTTGAAGGGTTTGCTAGTGGCAGCATATCCCATTGTCATACGATTTCTGGTGGAAAAATATGGTTTTCGAGGTGCAACAGCAATAATTGCAGCAATTCATGCCCATACAATTGTCGGAATGATGGCTATGCACCCTATTGAATGGCATTGCAAAGTGATCCGAATACCTGTAGAAGAATCAAAGCCATGTAAGAGCTCATTTTGTTATTTCATTATTAATGTTGAATGTGATGATAGTTTAATTTTTCCTCCCATTTGTAGTGATGAACACAAACGAAAAAGAATCTGAAGTAATAATCACTGTGGTACCAGATGATGAAACCAAAGGGAAACTAGCAAGCACATATCGCTCGAGTGAACAAGATTTGCATGAAAAAACTAAAAATAGTGACAGTGGTACACAGTTGATTAGAAGCGAACGGAGTAAATCGATCGATGTAACCCAAACGCTTGATGGATTTGATCCAATAACCAAACGAATTTCGAGCATCATGAGTTTTGGTGATTTAGGTGGTGCTGTGATCATGGCAGAAACATCAAATAATAAAAATGGAAAATGGTATACGCTCTGATCTGAAAACAGAAACACAGTGTAATGCAATGAAATGTGGTTCTTCTAGGCAAAAAGTGATCGATTTCCTTGATTTAACATTGCTTAAGGATTTCATTTATCTCAATATGGTTATCGGTATCGCATTATCACTATATTCGGACGGGACATTTTACACATTGCTTCCGATATACTTATTTGAATTGGAATTCTCTAAGGTGAATTTACATCAATGTATAGATATTTTTTTGGGAGATAAAAAAAATCATCGGCCCAAACTAATATGAAACCAATTGCTTTATTTTGGACAGAGTGATGCAGCTTCAGTGGTGTCAACTGGATTTGTGGCTGATCTTAGTTCTCGTGTATTTCTGGCCGTTGTCAGTTACCACACCCAACTAAAGGCACGCCATGTCTATTTGGCTGGAGCAGTGGCCACAGTTTTTATCAGAATTGGTATTTATTAAATTGACAATGGTTTCGGTACACGGTACTTATATTTTAGAAAAAAAAAACGAACAATTTCAATTTTAGTTTTTATGAACGTGTTCAATTTTTACGCGATAGCCGCGGCGATAGCAATGACGAGTTTTTTTCGCACATTCATGTACTGCATGATTGCTTTGATCTTCGCAGAGTATTTGCCATCGGAAAGGCAAGTCTATTTCGATTTCCAAAATGGGAAAAAAGTTATCATTCAACAGGAAACTTGAAAACTTGACAATTCAATTCAGAATTTCAAACATTCTAATGAAAATTCATAAATGTATTTACATCGAATAGTATTTTTTCATTTCAGATTCGCGTCTGGCTTCGGTTTGTACACTTTCATTCAAGGAAATCTAATATTTTGCATCTCACCGATTTTCGGCTGGATTCGCGATGTGACTCAAAGTTACGTTATTTGTTTCAATACACTCACATTGCTCATGTGTTTGCTCATAGTTCCTTGGACTACTGAAATGCTTTGGCTTCGATTTCGTCCTCGAAAAAATACAATTGAAGCAAGATAGATAAGTTTAATTAAACTTGATTTAATTTTCAGTACGAGAATCGCTAGGGGGAAAGATCAATTTTTTTTTCCTCTGAATAAGCCTCAATATAACAAATAATGATAATTTGTATCGATTCTATGACCTTTTACAAATATTTAACCGATATTTGAATATTTCGCCGATATACCAATATTTCGTACTAAAATTGGTAGAGATATTTAGGTGAAGCGCACTTAAGCTATTGCTCGAGTACCGCGTACTTAAGTACTTATTTATCAGCAAACTTATCATGTCATTTCTAGTGTCATTTATTTCTAGACCAGTACTACGGCAATTAAGTACTATCTTAAGTACGCGGCACTTAAACTTTATCAAGTGTCATGAACAAAAACATAATTTCGTAAGATAATTCATATGTGATTGTTCATAGCTAGGTTTATAGAAAATAGTAATTAAAAATAAATGTAGATTCTGGTTTCTAATAATTTTTTATTTCATGCATAATCAGTTTTCAAAGATTCGTTTGATATAAGAAGCAGATACAGGTAGAAGTATAGCGTTAGGTACAGCGCTTTAACCAAAAGTACGTGGCACTTTAACGTGAATTTAAACGAATTCGCTGATGTATTGTTATTTTTCAAAAATAAGCGTTTATCTGCATATTAGCAGATATCGGCGTACATCGTTCTCTTTTGTTCTATATTTTTATGTTGAGTTCACATTAAATGTACACGATTGACACGAATATTCAATTTATTTGACCAACTCACACCAATATACCAATTAATAACGATGAATAACATAGATAATAGCGTACGACCAATTGATCTTTCCCCCTAGGAGAATCGTACAAATTCAATCTAAATGTAAAATAAGAGAATAAAGGTGACGAAACCTGAATATCATCAGACTGGAGATAAACAAGATAAACGTGTGAAATAAAATGAGGCTGTGAGAATGAAAATGGCAATACAGGAATAAACATTCTGAAGCGCATCAAGAAGAAAAAAAATCGCAAAAGTGAACCATGAACCTCCTATGCTGCCCATGTAAATTCATGTTTCACTTTTGAATATTCTGAACTCATGATTCATTTTTGCGAATTTTTTTTTCTTGATGCGTTTCAGAATGTTTATTCCTTTATTGCCATTTTCATTCTCACAGCCTCAAATATAAATCACAAAAAAGCAGAGTCTGTGCAAACTGTTTTCTTTTTTCAAGTTCGAGATAAATTTGGTTGAATTGACGCAAAGGAAAGATTTTGAATAAATTGCGTGTCGCAATTTATGCAATTAGGTCAGCAGTTGGTGGCAAAAGTCAACAATTGACGCAGAATAACGATTTGGCAATCGTTTTTTGTGGAAATTTATCTTGGAAAGTAGTAATCTTGATAGATTAAACCACTTTGAAATAGATAAAAGTTTAGGGCGTCTGGCGTCATGTAACATTCCACAGTAGCTTCAATTGTGTTTAGCACAATTAGTACTTTTCTTGCACTTGACGTTGATTGAACGACGTCAACCAGTGAAATGGACGAAACAGTGACAAATACGAAATTCCGTATGGAAAAGGTTGCACCTGAAGGCGGATGGGTAATTTACATTTTTCATTTACAACAAATACAATGAATAAATCTCAATCGTATTCTTAGGGCTACTTGATTGGAATCGGATTAGCATTGCCTTTTGTAAGTCTAGAGATGATTTCATATTGAACCGTGAAATTGATAATAAACAATTGTTTAGGCATGCTGTTTAGGTGCCCTTGGCTCCTTTGGATTGATGTTCAATGAATTCTTAACAAATCTCGGCGCTGGAACTTCTGCTGTGACTATAGTTAACGGTGCCTTTTTTAGTGCATTGAGCTTTGCAAGCTTATTTTCGAGCACTTTATTCAGGCAATTCTCAATGCGTTCAGTGGGAGTGTTTGGCAGTTTAGTATATTTTGCTGGCAGCCTAATGACAATATTTGTTACATCGGTGGAACATTTGATTGTTTCATTCGGTGTATTACAGGGGGCTGGTATCGGTAGGTTATTTTATCAAAAAAATTTTTCGTTCTGACCTCTAAAGCGCTGAATATATTTTTTTATTTGTTTGAAAAGGATTTATGGCACCAGTGGGATACACTATTTTCAATCATTATTTTGTTAGAAAGCGTGTCTTCATGATGGGCATCATGCAAGCATTAAAAGGCATCGGGATAATGGGTTATCCGATCATGGTGCAGTTTCTGATGGAGAGATACGGATTTCGTGGCACAATGGCGGTGATTGCGGCAATAAACGCCCACGCGATCCTAGGAATGCTCGCTATGCACCCTATCGAATGGCACTACAAAGTCATAAAAGTTCCTGTCGACGAAGATGAGCCCTGTAAATTTTATCACTATCTTTTAAAGTTTGGAATTTTTTATCGTTAACAATGTTATCGTAATGTTCCAGTGATGGATCCAAATGCAAACATAAATGAAGTGAAAGTCAACATGATATCTGAGGACGGCGAATATGAATTTAATCAGACCAAATTAGAAAAACCAAATGAAGTTAAGAGCCCGAGAGTGAAGAAGTTGAGTTTAATCTTGAACAGCAGTGCACGGGAAGAAGTTTATAGGAAACTTGAACGCAGCAAATCGCTTGATCCAACGCAAAAGATAGACTTTGATTATGTTCGGACGCGTGTTTCGAGTATCATGAGCTTGGGAGACATGGGTGGCGACGCTATGGTCATCGAAACATTTGAACGGACTAAAAACGGAAGACTGTAACATTTTTGAACGATCAAGTCAAAACTTTCGATTTAAATGTTTATTTTTACAGGAAAAAAGTGATTGATTTCCTTGACTTGACGCTATTCAAGGACTTGGTTTATGTGAATATGGTGCTCGGTGTTTCCTTTGGCTTATACTCAGATAATGCTTTCTTCACATTGCTTCCGTTGTACTTGTTCGAATTGAATTTCCCCAAAGTAGCCAATTTTCTTGTATTTTGTCCTAGAAATACCTGATGGTATTCATGATGATAACATCCAAATTTTCTTCCTATGATTTTCTTTCTTTTTATACAGCCCGACACAGCAATGATCGTAGCAACTGGCGCTGCTGCCGACATGACATCGAGAGTTTTTCTGGCTATAATGAGCTTGTTCATTGAAATTAAAGCGCGAAACTTGTTTTGGGCGGGAGCCATCGGAATAATTCTTCTACGATTTGGTACGCAGTTAACAAGCAAAATAATTCAAAATAATTTTAAAAATTACTGTTAATTTTTAGTTTTCCTGAACATGACTAGTTTCAGCGGAATGATAGTCATTGTAGCCATATTAGGTTTCCTACGAACTTGGCTACATGTACCAATTTCACTCATTTTTGCCGAATATTTACCAAAAGAACGGTCAGTATTCATTCAAAGAAATATCTCAACCCGTTTTTGTTTGAATTTTGATTTGGAATAAAAATTGAATCTGCTGATTTTTCTTTCCATTTCTTAGTTTTCCAACGGGCTATTCTTTGTTCATGTTCTTCCAAGGTAAATTTGATAGAATAATTGATTTTTCAATTTGATTATTATGGTTTTTGATATTGTTTTTCTGAATCCAACAGGAAATTTTGCTTTTTTGGTCGGGCCATTCATCGGATACGTTCGCGATGTAACAAAGAGTTACATCATTTGCTTCAACTCGCTTACGTTCATCATGAGTTTATGTGCGATACCGTGGCTTCTTGAAGCTATATGGCTACGAATGCACCCGCAAAGGATTGATGACAATGATGAAAGCACGTGCGACAGAAACTAAAAGAAAAGTCATTTTGATAGATAAACAGATTGAACATTTCCGTAAACAAAGCCAAACGTTTCATAGTTAGAAATAAATTTCACCATTTGATGAAACATACAACGAAAAAGTATAGAAAATATAAATTAAAAGATTTCATTTATTCTACGTGTTGAATCTGTCTCAAACCTACAGAAGAGTATTCTCTATATAAACTGTAAAATGTCAAATGTCTTCTTGTACCTTTATGCACACTAAACTGAAGATGTTATCTTTGATAATCAAATAAGAAAATTTGGATATTTTCGGAGACAAAGCCACTATTATCTTCTGATACAAGAAAAATAAAATAAGATTTTTTGTACCTGGAATGCGTTAGAGTAACGCGATAAGTGCCCGACTTGAGACCATAAGACAGCATTGCGACATTCGGCCCTTTCTACAAACTTTGGGCTGATTTGATCAAGTGAATGAAGCATCTTAGGCAGGGATCTAATCATCTTTAGATTCAAAAATCAAATGCACGGTTTTCTCAATTCTTGTGACATGGCAAAATAAACAATTATTCTTATCTAATCAAAGGATTTTAACACATTGATTGCCCATTGTCTAGTTCATCATCAGAATAAAATTTTACAATGACAATACAATTTATGCTTATTTACAAACGTATGAAGCGGGAACACGTAGTAAGAGTGCCCGAGATAGTCACTGTTTCGCTTCTGACTCCCTTTGACAGATTGTGATGTCACCAGAAAATAGATACGCACCTCTGATTCATTACTTAGAAGATAAGCTACGATAATTGTTTGATGACTTTTATCAAACGAAAATAAAAAATATTCTGGCTTCTGCATGGAATTAATTCATTTGAAATTCCAGTAGCTCAAAATTTCAATCAATCCTGACGTTCGTGGAGTTCAAGTGTAATTCGTATTAAACAATGGAAAACGGTGATAAACGAGTGTTTCGAATTGAAAAACGGGCTCCCGAAGGTGGATACGGCATATTGATTTCGATTTCAATGGCATTGTCACTGGTAAATATTGCATTTTGTCCCAAATTCATTGAAAAATTGAAATTGAAGTTAATTTGAAATAACTTCAGGCTTGTGCTTGGGGGAGCTTAGGGTCGTTTGGATTGATTTTCAATGACTTTATAACGAGTTGTGGTGGCGAGTCTGGAGCTACGACATTAGTCATCGGCTTTTTTGCAAGCTCCCTCAGCTTCGCAGGCTTGTTCGCAAGTGTTTCGTTCAAGAAGTTTTCCGTGCGATCGGTAGCAATATTCGGCAGCTTAATTTATTTTCTGGGCGGTTTCTTGACCATTTTCGTCAATTCAGTTGAACAACTGATCGTTTCCTATGGCATTATGCAAGGTAAGTGTATCTTTCGAACAATTTTATTCCGAAATAATTTACGAAAATTTGTATTTAGGTATGGGTATTGGAATCATGCTTCCGGCATCATACGCCACATTCAATTCATATTTCATTAGAAGACGAGTGTTGATGATGAGCTTCGCACAGACTTTGGTAGGTGTTGGAACAACGGTGTATCCGCTTATGGTTCAGTTCTTGATGGAAAAATACGGTTTTCGTGGCATGATAGCAGTGATTGCGGCAATAAACGCCCACGCGATATTTGGAATGCTTTCTATGCACCCTATCGAATGGCACTATAAAGTCATAAAAGTTCCTGTTGATGAAGCTGATCCTCGTAAATATAGTCGTCATAACTTTAAATGCTTTCATAGTGCACATTTTATCAATTTCAGTGCTAAATTCAAATGGAATAGAAAATGAGATAAACGCAAACAAGATACCAGAGAATGATCGCGATCTTGCTAAGATAGATGAAAAAGATGAAAACTGTTCACAATCACTTCGGAATGATACGAATTATGACGTCGAACGAAATCAAAATGGTAAACATAAGAAGTCCCGAGATCAAAATGAAAATTGCGATGAGTTCGATCCAACTCAAAGACGAGTATCAAGTATCTCGATTACAGGTATTAGTGGTGTTATCGCCTGTGACATCCCACAACCGATAAAGAAAGCTGACGGCACTTGGTACGAAAATTATCATATCTAGTTGAAAAATATTGATTTTAATGAATCCGTTTGTTATAGGCAAAAGGTGGTCGATTTCCTCGATTTATCACTACTAAAAGACCTAGTTTACTTGAACATTGTGCTCGGAATATCATTTGCAGTGTCTTCAGATGGGGCTTTTTTCGCCCTGCAGCCGATGTACATGTTTCAACTTGGATTGTCCAAAGTAAAGTATTTGTATTTTTCCAGTTCATTGTTGATACCCAACACACAACACATTGAACTACTACTACGGCACATCATGTTCAATCGACAGCCACTGTAGTTCTCTCTCTGTGTGTGTTTTATGCCAGTTGCGTATCAACCATGAGCTGAAAAAACATCAACCATGTGGTGTGTTTGCAAATATATTTCGGTTATAATGTTGAATTGGAATTTCGAATAGGCCGAAGCGGCCGTTGTTGTTGCAAGTGGAGCCGCTGCTGATTTAGTGAGCCGCCTCGTCTTGACTGCCCTGAGTTTATTTATTCTGGTCAATGCGCGTTATGTTTTTTTGAGCGGTGCAATCTCGACGATATTATTACGATTTGGTAATTGGATTTGGATTTTCTTCTACTGTGCCTTTTCAGCTGAGCGGTTGAAATTTTTACTTATTTTCCTTTCAATATTGTTCATGTTTGAACTTTAGCGTTTCTAGAGATAACGGACTATTTCGGAATGTTAGTTATCACAGCGATAATGAGCTTCGTGCGAACTTGGTTCCATATGATACAACCTCTGGTTTTTGCGGATTATTTGCCACCTGAACGGTAAATCTCATATTGATTATGATTAATGATCATTTTCTAACATATCGAAACTTCCCCTTCTAGATTTTCATCTGGATTCGGGCAATTTATGTTTCTTCAAGGTATAAAAGTAAAGAAATAACAAAGTTATTAGTTAAGACAATTAGTATCTAGTAGGCGAAGGGTTGTAACAGTGATATGATCGGCACATGAGCACCATCTCTACTGATTGCCATTATTGCAATGTAAATGAATAGAATGTTTTCTTCTTCTTTTTCTCAACATCAATTGCATACGACTTATAGCAACTCTCCGTAATCATTAGAGGTGGCACTACTTATGCGCATCAATTGACTTTTGCATTGGCTCTTATGTACTGTGCGTGCCTTTTGCTGATTGGTGATGAAGTAATAATAATTACAGTCTTTTATTTCTATATTTCAAGGTAACTTTTATTTTGCGTTCGTCCCGTTCGCCGGTTGGATTCGAGATGTGACACAAAGCTATGTCATTTGTTTTCATACACTCACTTTCGTAATGGCGATGTGTGCCGTTCCGTGGTTAATTGAAATCGTGTGGCTACGGATGTATCCAAGGAACAAAAGTAATGAAAAGAAGAATTCAGACATCGCTTCATGTTGATTTTTGATACGAAACACGAAAATATGAATAATATTAATATTATGAGGAGCGTTTTTCAATAAAACAATAGTTTCTTTACTAACATTGTGATGATTATTGCAACTGGCTAAACGTCCAACGGTTGCGATGACTATAAATGTTTAATACAATAAGATTTTTTGTGTATAGCCCAAAAGCAAAACTAAAAATACACACGTTTGCATTTTTTCTTTGTTCAAGGTACGGTAAAAATGTATACATGATTGAATTGTCGTTTTTATGGGAGACATTTTTAACTTATTTGTTCTTTTTTTTCCTCCACAACGAAAGTTTCACTCCTCGAACGATAACAAGGCTTTTCCGAATACAAATGACACAACAAGCTCAATACAATAAATATCAACTGCAAATGTGTTAATACATGAAGTGATTAGATAAATTATTATTGTATTCCTTTATAAATTGAATAAAAATGAATAATGATGAGGAAGTTAAATCAAATCCAATCTGGGTTTGTTCAAGTTTGTATTTTGTTCCATGAGAAGCAACAATTTGGCAACTGCCAGCAGACATCGATGGTTTTGATGTGGTTCGTTTTAAGCAGTCTCGTATTGCAGCACCGTATTTTTAGTTATCGTCAAGTTTTGAGTACATAGTATGTGTCACAACAATTCCAACAAAAAGTTGTGTTAATTTATCGATCAACGGCTTAGCAACATTCAAGGAATCATACTTTCAAATATACCAAGGTATTGTACCTTTCGTCAGGTCAATGGTGTCGATTGATTTACCTATTTGCTCGTCACACATTGCGAACAATGGCTTTTTCCACATATATCAAGCAATAAGTATCATATGAAATGAATAAAACATTGGAGCGATTTTAGTTTTGAATTGAATGATTTAATTCAATTGCTAATTGCATATTCCGTTCATTTTTTTGTGATTTTTCCCTGTCACTTTGTGTAACTTTGCTTCGACTACAGAACTAACTAAGACTACACGAATGTTTTAGTCATTCGATTGAATAAATTATATATAGAGCACGTATCGAATTGTGTCCATTTAATTGTGTCGATGCAGCATTTAATTCACCAGCCGAGGCACCAAATTTGTGGTTTTACTCGGAACGACACATACGTGTGATTGTCGGTCACAATTTATTTGAATGCTAAGTGCTTATGACTACGAGAACTTAAACGTTGAATATTTCTGATAATTCCGACATCTACGCTATCTTCTTAACCTAATTGAAGGATTCTTTTTATGACATAATGCAACTTTTTCCATCACTTCTTAGTTTATGAAATGCTTGAATTTTGGTAATTTTTCTGTTCTTATTCTGATTGATCGGTTTATTTGTTATTAATCTAAGCAACAACTCGTTTTCGTGGTTCAACTTCAATTCGGAAACCATCGGTACGTTTCAAAATGATATCGGCCTGCAGTTTGAAGTCATCTTGGGTCAATGAAGATTTGATTCGGTAGTTACGCAAAATGGTCGATAGCAACACCTTCAATTTTAACATGGCATATTTGCGGCCGACACAGCTTCGTGGCCCAGCGCTGAATGGAATGAAACTGTAGTAGTGACGGTATTGGGTGCGTTCCGGCAAGAAATTGTCCGGATCAAAGCGATCTGGGTTTGGATAGATGTCTGGGCGACGATGAATTTTGTATGTTCCAATGACAACTGTGGCTCCAGCTGGGACAATGTAGTCCTCCGAAGCCAATTGAATGTCTTGGTTGACTTTACGGGCAATCATTGGCACAGGAGGATACAAACGCAACGATTCCATAATGACACGTTCCAAATATTTCATTTCCATGGTATCGTTGAAGGTAGCCTCACGGTCTGAATCACCGAAGATTTGGTAAATTTCTTTGTATACACGATCTTGGATGTCTTGATGAATTCCCAACAAGCACAGCACGAAACTGGAACCAGCAGCCGTTGTGTCATGTCCCTCGAACATAATGGTGTCGACTTCCTCTTTGATATCAGTGTCACTCAAATTGGCACCATTCTTCGCTGACTCAATCATCAAGTCCAAGAATGCAAGACGACGCTTTTCACCTTGAGGAAACAAAAAATAAGCGCAATTAAATTTTTGTTTTGCTCAATATTGTCATTGGATTTGGATTTTTAAAACAATATTTCTTTCCAAATTTTCCAAATTTTGTTCGAAAAACTCAACTTCTCCCTTTAAAAATGAAAAAAAAAACAAAAGTTGGACACTCACCGACATCATTTTCATCGATATCATCCAAATCATCGCGCAATCCTTCGGCTGTTTTTTTCTCTGGTTTCAATGGAACAACGTAGTCGTTGGCAATAATTTCAGAGAGTGATGGCGTTGGAACGTTTCCTTCCTTGTAATTATCCTCGAACAGCTTCTTTTTCTCCTTGATGACACGTTTGGTTAAACCGTGAATCGTGTTCAAGAGCTGCTCTTGCTTTTCCTTGATCTTGGTCATGTTGAATAGCGCATCGAATCGCAAGTACACTTTCACGTGACGTGCATGCAAAATATCACACATTTTCATGACAGCCTGGATGAAAATTCGGATTAATCGATTAATTTGGCTTCGTTTTCATTTTGATTTTTCTTTTTGCATTTGAACAAACTGCGTTTTAAATATATTTCGTTTGGAAAAATCAGTTAGTGTGACAGTCACTTTGTGACTTTTGGACATGATTTTTCATTTTTATTAGGCCAATTTTGAAACTTCCAATACTAACCATAGCATATTTGAAACCATCGTCATCTTTGCCGATACGTTTATGTCCCATTGCAGTTTCTACATGGAAAAGAATCGTTTTATTAGTCAACAATTCATCACGAATTCAACATCAATGCTTATTTGAACTTTTTTTCATTTGTTTTTTTTTTTCATTTTTTTTCAAGAAAATTTTCAGAAGTTTTGAAGATTTGTTCAAAAAAAAAAGAACTCACCCAACAAAATGTCAACGGTTGTCTCACTCATGTAATCGTGAATGTCAAAAACTTTGCCGACTTCTTTTTGTAGACGTTTCACAACGTTCAAGCTGTTGCTATTGAATGTTGGAATGAATGATTTCAAAACGTTTTGATGGAAAGCTGGAGCGATAAGTTTCCTGTGTGAGCGCCAGTGTTCGCCGCTGCTGATCAATAATCCGTTGCCCAACCTAGAATCAGATATGAAGTTGGAATTATTCTGATTTGAATAAAAATAAAAAAAAATAAAAAATAAAAAATAGATGAATTAAAACCAACCATGGTTTGAAGAAGCGATATTCGTCGGATTTGTCAATGTGCACATGACTGCCGAGAATGATTTCAACATCTTTTGGATGAGTCAAGAAAACGATCAACTTCGGTCCGATCCAAATTCGTGCCAAATTTGTGTAAACCTTGCTCAATTCCAGGGCCAGTTCGAGAATTTCTTTTTGCAAAAAAATGAGACGAAAAAAAATCACACACATAAATAAATACACTTTTCTAAGATTTACAAAAAATTATCTTTTTTCAAAAATCGTTTTTACCGTTGTGAGTTTTACTCCAGACATAATGTGCGTTTCCGATAAGAGGGAGAGTCGGTGGGCCGGGAATTTTGTTGCCAATTTTTGCGATGCGTCGACTTTGTAAGTACACATGCAATAGAGCCAAACTGATTGTCACGAAAATCAACGGCAAAATCAGCGGAAACGTATAACCACCAGCAGAGCGAACGGTTTCGCCAGCGAGGTGCTCAACATCCAAACCCATTTGTTAAAAATTCCACTGCACACCGTTGGTTATTATTTCACTTTGTTTCACTAAACTCGAACAAAACAATTGGTTTCACCAAAATCGACACCTAATTCACAGCGACTTCAAACAAATTGATCGAAATGAGTGTTGTAACCCTCTTTTATACCAACGTCCAATGAAAGTCGAATGGAATAATTATTACGACTTGGTTTCAAATCCAATTTGCATTTTCATTAATTACTCATTTCATATGTAAAATGGGTTCAGAACTGAAAACTACCGTTCAAAGTGGTTACCAATAGAAAACGAAATTTGCAATTGGACTCTGGGCACAATGTATCGCATGTATTCACAGCAACTGCCGCAATTCAAATTAATCAAATTTCTATCATCACTTCGCATAAATAAACAAGCAACGTGTGTGTGCCTACGTGACAAAGGCATTACATGCCATAGGGAAATGTATTGTGAAAACCTTTTTTCATGACTTTTTTCGATTAAATTCGCTTAAAAATGCAATGCCAATCGGCGATATTTTCGGTGCATTCGATAGAAATCAATATTTTTAGCCCGACATGTATGACCGCTATTTTGATTGAGTTGTCTTTGCAAAACCGGAAATCATCGAAGACCATGCAAATTGATGTATTGTATGCACAATTTCAATCGCTCCACTGAACTTGTTCGACTTGTTTCAAAACCAATTTTGTTGGGAAAATTTGTACGTTTCTTTCAATGAACCGCAAATTTCTGACTCTTTCTTGAGGCCAGTAAATCTATTTTCATTTTCTCAATTAATGACAATGTGGGACAACGTGATAAATGAATGACATGTTAAAATCTATAGATTTTATGATTTTGAGTTTGAATTTTACGTTTTCAATTCAGATTTTTTTGATAAGGACTTTTAAACGAAACAAAATATTTCCTCATTAGATTGTGGTCTTTTGTACAGCGGTAAGTATGCACCTCAATCGAACATTTTTCGCACACACAGAAACGAATGAATGAATCAATTAATTTAACGACCGAATGTATTATAGCCCAGTAATCCATATAATGAATTAGAATAATTACCTTTCCATTATTTCACAGACAGTTTCTTTACATAAGTGAACGCGTGTATAAACCCATATTAACTGTTAACGAGTTCTTCATGAAGATCAAAGTATACAAAATTCCATTGAAAGGAACATTTGCCAGGTTTGGACGGAATTGACGAGTTTCAAACTTGCAAAGCACAAAGCTCAAAATGGAGAGCTGTTGTAGGGAATTTATACCAGTTTTAGACATATTTCTATACTCTCAATGAGAATGATGAGTTGAGAATTTTGTAGAGTTATTGCCAATCTGAAATTCACATTGTTTGTTCGACTTTGACTGAAAATTGTTAAAGTGACAGTTGAAAGTTGATGAAGAAAATCGTGAAAAAAATTGAACACTTTGATAAAGGTATTGATGAAAATAAAAAAAATTGTTGGAAATTCTTCTCCATTTTTTCTCAAAAAGTTATTAATTTCTATCTAAAACTTTGAAAAAAAACTGTTTTATTGAAAAGAAACGTCCAGTCAAAATCGTCCTTCGCCTCAATTCCCCAAATTACAAGAGAATGCTTTGCCTTTGTAAGTGTTGCGCTGCATGCATTGCATGTGGTTGTGGTTCAATGTTTTTGTCGGTTGGCAGATCGAGATGCATTAACCGTGAAAATGTTCGGTTCAGGGAGAGAAAATAAATTGAGGAAGACATATGTTTGAACAGTTATGCAATATCTTATACGCCGATAATAACCATTGGAAAGGCAAGCATTTCGTAGCAAATTGAAAATCGAACGTTACCAAATTCATTTAACAGAATATTTTTACGGTATTTTGTTTCTCGTTTTTTTTTTTTGCGTTGATACACAAAACTGATCGATTTGTGTGCGGCATTCCGAAGGAGAAGAGAAAGCAATAGAAAAGAAAAATAACAGTATTTATTGTTGCATCCAGGCAAACTGACAGCGTATTACAGTAAGCTCTTAAACAAACACAATAAAAGTGAAAAATGCGATGTGAATTGATAAAAAAAAATGCGTATGCACTTTCGCAACGAAATTTGTAGTAGACAGGGGGGGGCGAGAACAAAGGCAAGGCATCTAGACATATTGATGCTATTGATTTTTCGGATCGAAACATTTCACGGTGATCAGTTTTGGCTGAACTGTTATTCTATCATTTATTTGACTATTGAACCGAACCGTATGCGAATGTCGATTGCAACGGCATTTTTTGTTTTTTTTTTTTTTGAGAGTCAATGAGCACCATACGTTGCATCATAAATTCATTTTTTGTATGATTTTTTTTTCGACTGAAAAGTCAACAATTCTCTCGATTTCACCGTGATGATTGGTGTAGTTCTCCGACGATTTTTAACACGTTTGCAGGAGGAACGAAAAAAAAAATCATTGCGACAAAAGATCAGAAAAATCTATTAAAATGCACACAACGACTAGCGATGCATTTGAGGGTTGCTCATTCTTCTACATAGCGAGCGTATTATTTGGTGAATGACAATGTAATTCGAACCGTATGCGATGTGGCTTTTAGGAGCTGAACTCAGTTTTTTTCAGCTCACTCTCTCTGTCTCTCTCTCTTTCTCTCGTTGCTATTACGAATTGAAATCCTCCTCGGTGCTGCTTTTGGAATATGTACGACTCTGCTGTTGCATTAAAAAAAAAATCAGTCTACCGAAAATTATGTATATAGGGAACACGTGTTGCTTATCCACGGCGACGTCTTTCGATTCATGATTCAAGTGCTTAGTTCACTGTAAAAATTATTTTTAGATGTGTGTTAAGTGCATTTCCAGGCATTGCACCAATTTGAAAAAGTGTTCGATAAGTCGATAGATTTGTTGGTGTTGGTGGTGGTAGTGATGCGCGCGCACATATGGGCTCTATCACTGATGACACACTTTATTCCACATTGTGCCCAAACATTCTAAATGGTTATCTTTTCACACACGCATGATTTTACGATGCATATTTTTCGTTCACACATCACAGACACGCAACGTTCGATAGCCACATGGAATGCAGAACGTAAGGCTAAAGATAGAAACGTGAAGTTTGCTGCTTCAAACTATGCTGGGCTATGAAGGCAGACGCAAAATGGATTATATAGAACACATCCATATGGATTATATTTATTAATCAACAAGTTTAACTTTGAGTCACGAATTTTTTCGGTCACAACATATCAGTGCCCGTATGCTGACTGTGTCAAGAGAGAGAGATAGAGAGAGAAAAATGAGCTCATCTTGAATCATTTTGCGTCGTTTTTTTGGTGACGCATGACAAATCTTCCGGGTATTATGAATTGAAATTTATACCTTTGACGAGGAACCAAATTTCATTTGATTTTTTCTTCTGTACAAAGAGAACAAACTTTTTTAGATTGGGTTTTTTTCAAATATTTTTTGACTGATTTTCAGGAACGTTTTTTTTTTCTTCAAAAATAATTCCAGTAGAATTTTTTTTGGATCAGGAATGAATTGTTCTTGTCTGGTTTTTATGAATAGTGTAATAAAAAACCCAAATGTTCCGAGTTTAACTTATGTCGTTTGCTGTTGAGGACATTTTCATGGCCGAAATACCAGAACGATTGACTTTGAGCTACTGTGCAATTTGATGCAGATTTCGGAGCCGGTCATTGACATTTTGCCATCGAAACGGATATGACCATTGAAAACGACTACTCCTGCTTTTGCACCACTCGAGATCATTCATTTCAGCGCATATGTTTACAATTCGTCGGATGAATAGATTGCGCACGTGTAAAGAACGCCTTTGAACCAAAGAATTTTTTTACAAAAATCAAGTAAATTCCACTTTAGTCTCCGAATTTATTAAAATAGGTTTTTTTTTATTAAAATCTTCTTTTTTCAGTTCACTTTGAATGAAGAGAAGACACACAGACAACAGGCTAACACTCTATTAGCAATAAAAGAAATATTAAAGCGAAAAATGGTTAAATGGTAAAGAAAAAAAAAGAACTAACCTACTTCCGTTGGTTTCATATATATACTTATATACGGTGCAAGTCTCAAGTGAAGGACAAAGTACAAAAGAATAAAAAAAAATTCGAACCGAAAATTGAATTCACTGAATAAAGAAAAAAGTGCGCTCGTTTCATTCACTCGTCGTTCGATGATAAAGTAGAAGAAGAAGGAAAAATCTTCATTCTTATGCAAAATGCACAATAATACTGAAGCGAAACCACCTCCTCTTTGCATCCTCAAATTCTGCATCAAAGAAACCTGGCTCATTCAGCTCGTCTTTTTTTCTCTGTGTCTAAATGTTGATCATAATGCGATTTTTGAATATGGAACAAATAGTTTAGACTTTAAAATGCACTTTGAATATGTGAAGAAAAAAACACGCCTTGCACACCATTCATTATTCCAATATCATTAAAAAACCATTTCCGAATTGCCTTATACTCGAATTTCAGCGCAATTTTTTCCAAACGAAATTTATACGCAAAAGTTTTTCGGCAAAACAATGACATTCAACGTAAGGAAAAAATTGAACGCGGGATTTGGTTTTCGTATAGAAAAAAGAAGGTTTGGAAAAAAAATTCGAAGCAAAATCTTTATTTACAGCAATGAAAAGAAATGAAAAACGTAATTTTCAGAATTCAAAATACAAATTAGAAGTCAATAAAAGATGGTAAACAGAGATGTACAGAAGAGTCGTTGGCGAGGATTGGTTGCTTTTCGACGATTCCGAAAAGAAATCTTGGCACATCTTCGTGAGATCCAAGAGCATCGATGCACGGTAGCGCAGTACAGCAACAGCAGCACAAACACGCGGAAACAAATTAATAAACTAATTAATCGGTATGCGTTCAGGTTAGAGTAAAAAACCAAAACATCTAACTAATTGTTATTTATTATGGATGCATCGGCCTCCTCTTCTTCTTCTTTTTGTGCGTGTGTATCTGTTCTTTTTCTCTGTTGTTGCTTGTTTTGTTAAAAGTCGCATTAGTAATTATGTGTGTACGAACTTAAGATCTCGTTTCCTCCTGCGTTCCCGGATTCTATTGTTAATTAAGCGTTTCGCGTTCGCATACATATCGAGTATCGGCGCCAACGATCCCATGTATTTGATGGGTGTTTCAACGCTTACAGAAATTGCATGTCGTTATAAACTTAATAAATCGTATATAATTTGTTCCAAAGTAAAATTAATTATTCGGTTTTTTTTGTTTTTGTTTCGACTTAATCGGTATACTTTGTTTTTTAAATTTGTATAAAAACTACTTTGAAATGCTAAAGTTCGGTCACTATATCACCTTTTTGTCATTTCGATTCATTGTTTAAACGACGCGCATGAAATGAATTTGAAGCCGCGCATTTATTGAGCAATATTTCAAGTTTAAATATTTAACTTGCCACTACTTTGTTGTGTTACACACACACAAAAACACACACATATCGACCCAAAAACGGAAATGAAATATTAGATTGTGTGCTGATTGTTGGGAAGAAAACTTCAAGAATGCAGTATCAAGTATCCGATTTCACTAGCGCTATTCATATTTCGATAGATATAGAGCCTGTTGAATGCCATAGATAAAATTGGCCGGAAATCTTAGCCTCGTTCACACAGTGATAGTGAATGGGAAGCGTTGAAACAATTTTTTTTTTGTGACGCACTACTTTAACCTGTCTATCTATATTGCGTAACACTTTACAACCTTTTCTCTATGTCACACACTTTGCGTATGTGAAAAAAAAACACCAATGTTTTGATTAGTAGTTTTGCATTGGCTAATCGTAATTGGTGCGTTCGGTGTTTGAAACAATAATATTATGATTCAAACGAAAGAATTAGAAATAGGCATTTGACGAATATCCATTGCAAATTTTGTCGAAGAATTTCATTTGCGAATGAGCAAACGGGTTGCAATTAAAAAGCAAAAAGGTTTCCAACGAAGACACCCATGAACTCCAGCGTCTTTAAATAAACCAACAAATGAAAATGCAATGTAATGTACACTTTTCTACATTGTATTTTTGAGAAAGGGCTGCGACACACACAACCAACTCAATTGAACTGGAAACGAAGTCAAATTAGCAATAATAAAATCGATATAAGAAAAAAAAAAAATTGAAATAGTCAACTATGTTTAGAGCCATAGACTATCATATACAATATATGACTTGAAATGGTCTTGTTGTTTTTTGTGTTCCTGTTTTTTTGTATCGGAATAAATTATTTTTCGTGAGTTCTACAAAACTCAATACTTTTTCCATTACGATCAGAAAAATAATGCGAAATGGAAATTTTTCAGCCGTTTTTTTTTTTTAACCAAATGGAATTGCGTCAGTCGATGATTCTGAACAAATTTTAACATCGATATTCGCGCACACGGCCATAAATACAATAGCACAATGTTTTTAAATGGAGTGAATCAAATGAATAAACGTGTGGCAAAATGCAAATCAGGTTTTTCCATTGAAACAAAACAACTAAATCAAATACGTCATAAGGCGCTATAGTAGCGACAGTATAAAATGCGATACAATGCTTTAATCGGGATTCAGTAATTCATGTGTGGTGCTTTGATTTAAATCGTCATTTTTCGACAAAGCGTAAATATTGTGGAACAAAAAGTACGCTAATTTAAGCTTTTTTTCGGACGTGGAAACATGTGTGAATGGGCTTAATTACCTTTTTTTCAGTTTTTGTGAATGACAAAATAGTTGTGTGTAATTAATTTGTATATTGTGTTTGAATACCTCAGTGAATCAAAAAATTTATTATTGATACGATGGCTGACAACCTGCTAACAATGATTGAGGGTTCGGAAGCCAGCGGCATTGGATTTTCGACCATTTTTATTCCGATTTTATTTGTAATTTTGGCTGTAACAGCCATTCATGTCTACTATAAATCACAAGAATCATTTCAACTTGGCATTCGAATACCGGGACCCGAACCAATTCCAATACTAGGCAATGCACTGATGGCTATAGGAAAAACACCAAATGGTAAGTTAGTTTTCAAGTGCTCTCTGTGCAACAGAAAAGTGATATTTTTTGTAAAAAAAAAAAAAACCAAAATAAATGTTCCGTAGAAATCGTGGAAGAGTGTTTGCGACTGGGTGAAATATACGGACATGTGGTTCGAGGCTTTCTCGGATACAATGTGATTGTCTTTCTAACTGATCCTCGTGATGTTGAGCTGATATTGAATAGCAATGTGCACTTGACTAAATCCAACGATTATCGATTCTTCAAACCGTGGCTTGGAAATGGCTTATTGATCAGTGACGGAGAACACTGGCGTTCACATAGAAAGCTGATAGCTCCAGCTTTTCATCAATTAGGTATGGTAGTTTGTTTGTACAAAAGTGTAATTCATTTCATTTCATTTCATCAACTGAAACAGCACGAATGATTAAATTTCAAAGAGGAAAGAGAATTTTTTTTTTTTTACTAAAATCATTCTCAAACTCAAAATATTCTCTCTTCGGTTATTGCAGTTCTGAAAAGTTTTGTCGGTGCATTCAACCGAAACAGTTGGCGATTGGTCAAGAGATTACAATGTGAAGTCGGTAGCGAATTTGATGTGCATGATTACATGAGTGAAGTCACTGTTGACATTTTATTAGGTAATATTCCGCTTCTTTTCTATTTAATTTGATACAATAAGCAAATAAAAATCGAAAATGTTGAATAAAATGATAATCCAAATTGAAAATTATGTTGCAGAAACGGCAATGGGTCATCCGAAAACGCATGACGATCACGAAGGTTACGAATATGCAATGGCTGTAATGAAATTATGCGATATCATTCATCGGCGACACCGCACATTTTATCTACGGCCGGATATCATATTCAATATGCTGGGTATAAAAAAAGAGCACGATTCGCTGGTGAATACAATTCATAGTCTAACGAGCAAGGTGCTATCGAATAAGAGCGAACAAATGCGAAAGTCATATGAAGGCGGTCGAATGCAAAAACCAATTTACAGTGATTTGATCAGTAAAAAATACTCAAGCGATTCAACGATGATTCATGATGACACTGAAGATCCATTAATTGGTGAGAAAAATCGGCTGGCATTTTTGGATTTGATGCTTGAATCGACTTACTGTGGTGTAAAAATCAGTGAAACAGAAATCAAGGAAGAAGTGGATACAATTATGTTTGAAGGTCATGACACAACGGCGGTTGGCTCTAGTTTTGTTCTCTGTTTGTTGGCTTGCCATCCAGACGTGCAGGAGAAAGTGTATGCGGAGCAACAGCAAATATTTGGCAATTCAAAGCGTTCAGCTACTTTCGCTGATACACTTCAAATGAACTACTTGGAGCGAGTTATTTTCGAAACGCTACGTATGTATCCACCAGTGCCAGTCATCGCAAGAGAAGTAAAAGAAAATGTTAAATTGGCATCAACGCCATACACAATTCCGGCTGGTTCCACGGTCGTTATTGGAACATTTAGAATCCACCGAAGGAAAGACATCTACGAAAATCCGGACGAATTCAATCCGGATAATTTCCTGCCGGAACGAACACAAAATCGCAATTACTACGGTTTCATACCGTTTAGTGCGGGACCAAGGAGCTGCGTTGGCCGAAAATATGCCGTGCTCAAGCTCAAAATTTTACTGTCAACCATTTTGCGCACCTACAAAATCTATTCGAGTTGCACGGAAGCCGATTTCAAACTGCAAGCCGACATCATCCTCAAACGAACTGACGGTTTTCGCATTCGCATCGAACCAAGATGAACATACACACAATAGATTATTACATCCGAGTTAGATTGTGGTATGGTTGCTATCGTATTTTATACTAAGAAAATAACAGATCATTTCGATTGAAACAATAAACCACAATAAATGAATGATTCTTTTGAAAATTAAACCGCTACTCTTTTGACACTACTTCTGGATGCTGCCGATTACTTATTTATGGCTCATTTTGATCTATTGTTCAGGTACACACACACACATACACTGTTCACTGATGTAGCAAAACGGCGTATGCAATGGTAATAAACAATAATTATATTGAGAGACATTATTCTTTCTCTAGAAGAAGAAAAAACTCACGCTGAACTTACGAATGAGAGAGAGAGAGAGAGAGAGAGAGAGAGAGAGAGAGAGAGACTAGATGAACTTTGAAATGCCAGGAATAGAATGCAATAAAAAATATACAGCAAATTATATATCCATTTCTGTGGATGGCTTTCCGCTTAGCTAACATATACCGTGCAGCAAAAGGGTAATTTTGTAAGTGTATTCGCTTCGGCTTTGGGGTAGTCAGCCATGCGAAACAATCGAAAATATAATAAAATTGTGTTATTGTAGTCAGTGTTTTTTTTTAGATCGAAAGAAACATAAGTGCTTCGATGACTATTTCTGGTATTCTCTGTCTCTGTTTTTCTTTCTCCCTGCTTCTCTTTTTTTCCTCTAGTCGACTGGTCTCACCTCATTTGATTATGATGATTCCGCACACACACACACACATACACAGAAAAACTGCGCACAAAATGGAATTGATCAAACAACAACAAAAACCAAAAACCGCATGCAATATTCTCTTTGTTTCCGTCTGTCCGTGTCTTTCACATCGCTTTTCTGCCGATCGTTGCCAACTTCGATCGAATTTCATGCACGTCGCTCGAAATCCACCCTTACTACCCGGCAATAAACGTGGTTGAAAACGAATTAATAACAAATTGATATCAAAATCGGTTCCCATTGACGTGATCACGTGATGGATTTGTTTCTGTCCGTGTCCATTGCCGGAATGAAATGTCACGTTTTCTACGTTCAACGATGAGAATTTTTTTTTAGCAATGTAACCAAATGTATCGAGTTTGTTTGTCCATTCTAAACAAACTGAAATGGAAAAAAAGGACGAAACTCTCATGTAGAAAAACAATCCAATTGTTTGAACCATACTTGTAATGGGCTCTTAATGACATACACCAAACGAAAATGGATTTCAAAACCGTACAAACATTGTTGTATCTTGATCAGTTTGGAAAATGACGATATTTGTTTGCACAAAAACCAAATTTTACCAACGCATTTCTTTCCGTTACGACCAATTCACATGACATGGCAAGCAGCAATCATGCACTAGTCCAACCGAATTGTGCGAGGGAAACGACGAACCGGTAGTGAGAACAAAAGCAAATTCGATATGTTTAAAACGAAGAGTGGAAAAAGTCAAAAAAAAAAAATTATGCAAATCAATTGTTCGACACACAAAGCCCGGGCAACTCATTAAGGCTTCTATCGAAGTGGTTTGGTTCAAATCACCATTGGTGGCATTTTTGAGGCAAGATGCGAAACAAACGAAAAGAAGAAAAAAAAAAGCAAAAGGAAAAAAAAAATGGTTCAATGACATTTTTGTTTGAGAAAAGTGAGAAAAAAGAAAACAACGGAATAAACATTAATGTTTGATTTTGAATAATTTTCATTGTGGAAAAGAAAGGAACGCCAGAGAAGAAAAGGATGTTTGCACAGAAGAGTGAGAGAAAGAGATTGGCGCTTCGAAATCGATGAGAACCACGTCACCGAAAATCAAATCATTTTAAAACCAAATGGATTTCATTTTCCACCCGATGCATTTCAGTTTCGCTTCGGTATCGAATAAAAAAGCAAAAGCAAACAACAACAAAACACAAATATACCTTCTGAAAGAGCACACACACACACACACACACACACAATTCACACATCTCTTTTGAGCTGATTGATTTTTCGGATCAAGTCAAACGATGTTTTGAGAATAATAATTTCGTTTTGGACTAGGCAGGTAAATGTACTGTGGATGTGGATTGAATGGTGCGCCGAATTTCGAAACATGAAAGGTTATCGCTTGGATGGGTTACTGAGTTGAGCTACGACCGAATGAATTCTGTTTGAAGAAGCATTGACGCTAAAGTACACTTACCCGAAAAATTTATAAGGTACTTTGAACATGCGCAAAATCAATTCGCATTCATGAGAGAGAGGAGAGAGAGAGAGTTTGCTTGAATGCGCACATAAAGTGGATCGCGTTTGCCAAAAGCGAATATGAGTTATGAATAGGAAAGGATCTTGAGCATGCGCACTTCAAACATATAGATGGAAGATGTTTTGGAACGGAAGAGATGTTGTAATTAATAATTTACATAGATTTTCCATTTAAAACAGGCTTCAGATTGTCATCATCAGCGTATCCTCTTCGTCAGCAACTAGAACCCACTTTCTGAGGGTTTTCGGTTTTTTTTGTCTTCGTCAAGTTTGTTTTTCTATTTGTTCGTTCAAGAAAAATTGGTAACTGAAATTACTCGAAGTAAAATTGATGAGATGCGTTGTGATGTGATGTTGATGATGATGTGCACAAAACTGGAATGGATTTTTGCTTGACATTTCGAACCGGGTACCTGAATAAATTAAATGGAAATTTTTTTCTACTGTTGCTGTTGCTTTGATCGTTTTTCATTCGAAGGTTGGTTGGTTATGAAAATAAAAAATGCTCCCAAGCTTCTAACGACGAGTTTGCTTATTTGGGATCGAATTTAGAAAAAAAAAAATACCGAATCTGGTTTCGGGCACATACATCACCGAATCATCCGTATTAAGCCGTCGTGGTTGGTTTATTTCGTTTTTTTCTTTCTCTCTCTCTCGATTCGGTATAGCTCCAAACCATGGATCGCTATGAAAAGATAGTCAACACACAATTGAATCCGAATCAAAATCGAAGACGAAGACAAACGGCCGAATAACAACAACAACAACGAGGCACGAAACATTTGATTTAGTTCTAGGTACCGAAAAATTACAATAAAATGGTTTGTTGGCGAAATGAGAAAATCGGCCTTAAACGGAATATCGTTACCCTTGGCAATTGTGCGTTTACGATTGAAAGGCAATGTGATATATTCAGAGCATGAAAATCCTCTTTTGAGCAGCGTACGATGACGGTTTGAAAGCGAAAGCTGAGAACCGAGAGTGAGAGAGAGAAAAAGAACTTGCAGCAATTTCAATAAGTAGCTAAATGGCCTGAACACATTAAGATTTATCGATGACCTGGTACGATGAGGTCAAATTCTTCAAGAAACTGATTAGGTATGCGAACATGCGCGCTCATCGAGCATTAGGGAAAAAGGATCGACACAAACAGAAGGAAGAATTGAAAGAAAAAAAGGTAGTTCGGAAAAGGAACCGTTCACATGCGCGTACCGTACACACAAGCTTAGTTAGCGAAGACAATACGCTCGTTGTTGAATTATGTGACGCAAAAGAGCGTCCGTCATCAGTAAGAAGATTACATCATATCATGATTCACAAACGGTCTACTTCATCGTCTTCACGAGTAACCTCGAAGACCTCTCTGTTTTGGGATTCGAGATTTTAAGCGCCGGCCAAGAATGCGGAGTAGAGTAGGTAAGACCGTAAGAAAAATGATTCGTCAAACCGAAAAGTCTAACGGTTTGGTTAATGAGAACAACGTGTTCAAGCTCGTATGTTTTTTGGTCAGGCGCATTATTTTCGTTCGACACAGGCAATTTTTTCTGATTTGCATGGCCATGGAAAATCATCCAAAATAAATAAATGACCACACCGCTACCTAAAGGAAACATGGTTTGTCGTGACAATTTCAACGATTAGCCCAAACCGAGCAACATTATTAAATGAGGTGAATTAAAAGAGTTATTTATTTACATTTTCTGGTTTTACGCTTTCATTTCTTCTCCCGGCCAAATGCACACCATCGATGTCCAATTGCATCGAGCAAAGAATAAATCTAAACAATAATTTTTGTTTATTGTGATTCGTCCGAGCAGCGAAAGTTCAAAGGCAAAACCAAAAACGGTTTCGCTCACACCGATTGCTGTCGTACGTTGTGCAGCTACGTGCATGTGAAAAGGGTGAGCTAGAAATGTCAGAAAACACATCAATTTGATATACGATCGTCGTAAGAAGAGCTCTCTTCTCATCACAAATACCAATTCTCTCACCGATTGACAAGGCACTTTTAGCTAGATTTATCATTTCATTGTTCACTGACATTTTCATGTTTTGGCATGAGAAAATCTCAATGCGATGCGCAAAATGTCTATGGTATTTGGTACCTCGCCTAATTACATTTACGGGCTAAAACGTGCCGAATATGCGACGATTTGATTTATGCAGACAATGCATCCATTTCGACAGAATCTACTTGAAAAACCATTTGTAATCGCATCAAATAAAAAAAAAACCGTCTATGCAAAAATGCCATCCATTGAATTGAACCCACTTCAAAGTGTGCTGTCAAAAATGCATTGAGCCAAAAATCAAAATTAACTCGTCACGTTTTGCGCGCAGAAAAAAGAAGGATTTCCATTCACTGCATCCATTGTGCAGCTCTCTATTTTCTCAATCGATCGGCGCAAAAATTTACATAATAAATATTCACCGAAAGCCGACTCTGAATTGAGTGAATTCAGATGTAACCCTTCTGTTGCTGCTCCGAGTTTGACAGGGATGGAAAAAAAATTTGCATGAAAATAATGTAATTGGAACACGGCTAATCAAACGACTGCTTCATTTTTGACACTGTTTCTCGTTTCTATGACACGATCGAAATAATTGCACATTTGCGCAACCCCATTAGAGCATTGTGCCGAACGTGCGCGCTTGCATAATTTGATTTAGGTGTCACTTTTTTTTTGCGTTGGGTGACCTTTTTACAATGTTGCAAGTTTCAGTTGCGAATCGCAACTTGCGATATTTGTGCTTCCTGTGCAATGTGCATGTTTGCTTGGCGAACTGAAGTCTGGTTTATGTATGTTTATAAAAAAAAATGATTCTAAATTTGTTTGAATAAAAATTAGTAATTTTTTTTCGTGAAATGACCACAAAACCCTTGAAAATTTCTGAATAAACAATCAACCAGGTTTTCATAGGACAACCAGGTTTTCATACAATAAAATATGCGTGATCATAATTTCATAAATAAGAAAAAAAGGAATGTGGAATGTTGGATAAAACGATCCGACGAATGAACGAAAGTGGAAACATAAATATGAAATTAAACAACATTATCATGCATTGACGGTGGTACGAGATAGTATCAATGCGAAATGCGACATATGGTTTATCCGTTACGACCAACCGATGACGACGACGACTATTCAAATTGATCAAAATGCAAACACACCAGAGCAACAAACGAATTTCTCTCAGCGACCATAAAAAACAAGCAACAGCAACAAAAACACCCGAACCGATCCAGTGACTATCATAGCGACATGTATAACGGGCATAAATACATTGGCATGCACGTCTCGTGTGTATGTGTGTGTGTGTGTGGATAACAAGGCGATTAAAATTGCCGCAGTGTGTCGGCAAACTATTAAGTGCTCGGCAATGCATAAATTGAAAATGGATTCGATTCGATGTGTGCGTTTCGGCTGCGCGACGAGATAAAAAAGAATGCACGAACGTACATGTATATGTGGAAAAAAAAGTAATACTATCCAACTTGGTTTGAACGTATGGTGGCCAAGGCCAGAAACGTACAAAAAAAGGATGAAGTGGAAAAATAAACTCAAAAATCAACAACACATACAAACAACTTCGCTTTTTTTGGTTCGTACAAATAAAATATTATTCATAATTGAACCCGAGCGTTCAATAAAACGTACAACTCGCTATGTAAATAAAACGCGGGCAAAGTGCATGCTTTTTTGTTTATTATGATTTTAAATTGAGCCAGAGACGCACTTTTGTCAACTCCCCGATATATTGAAGTGGTTTCAATCAATGTACCGTATATGTGAGCCATCAATTTCCATCGCCTTCCGTTTTTTTCCCTTCAAAATGTTGTTTTGTTTTCTTTTTGGTCGCCTATTTTTTTATTTTCAAACATGTTGTTTTAAAATTGAACATTTTCCCGCTTCAAAGCATAATAATTAATATCCTTGAAATGGATTTCCTTGAGGCGGTTCGCCTTCATCTCTGACTTAATCTTGTTAAGAAGAGATATGACATACAAAGCGATCTTTATCTATGATTCATCTATAACTTCGAACAAAAGAAAAGAAACATCTGATCGTGAAAAATGCTCTAACTTGAATGAAATGAGTCAATATGTTGGTGAATGTGTTACGTTAGAAAAATGAGCTCATCAGTGAGTGATCTGTTTCGGAGGTTTTGTTTCTATGTCATTTTCTTCGTCACTTATCGTCCGCCATACGCAAATCACTCAGTTTTTGATCGATACATACGCATCGTGTTTTGTCATTAGTATGAAGAAAACTCCGTATTTTTCCACGAATTTCAAACAAACTTTTGCCACATACGACGAATGATGCGTGTGATTCTTTTTTCCCTGAAAACCAATGAGTGAACGCGTTCGCAAAATTACGTGTGCAATGCACATGATTCATAAATTTCGGATGCCAATCAAATTCATTCCGTGTTTATTGTTCGCTCGATTGGACGGTGCATGTTGAAAAGGCGCAACATCCAAATAAATTACGGCATTAATTGTGAACAAAACAGCGAAAAAAAAAGGAGAATGAGCCATGAATCTTTGTGCCGATCGTCGATATTTTTCACGTTGATATAAAGCAGAGAGAAAAGGAGAATTGTCACGGCATGATGTATTGGATTTAATGAACACTGAACACTGAACACAAAAACACTGTATGTCATTTACTTGGATTTTTCGTTCGTTTCATTCGCTCATTTGGATTTTTTTTTTCCTGTTTTCCTCTTCACGTGCATGACAGTGGTGCGCACATTACTTATATATGCGAGAGCATATCTCGCCCTGGCATACAGTCAAGCTACACATGAAATTTATGTAATTAGAAGCGTTGATATGGGGTCGCTGTTTCTGCTTCGTTTGCCTGTTTTTCATTAGGTGAATTATTGAACAGTGCTTTTGCGTTGTGCGCTCCCGGCTCGTTTTTATTTCAGGCACAATTATTATTACTTTTTTCTTCCTTCTCATGTGTGTGTGTGTGTGTGAGTATGTGTATATGTGAGTGTATTTCGATCCCTCTGCGCATTCGATGCCAGACCAAAAATGAATATCTCGTAGGTAATGCGCTCATGTATACAATTTTACTCAAATTTCGGGGCATCGGGAACACACAATATAATGAACGTTAGTTGTAGCGAACGAATTGGCAACCTATTCAATTTCACAATCGACCCTTTTCACAGAAATTACAGCAACAGCGAACAATACACGAAACGAACGAACGAACGAGAATGGAAGGAACAGAGAAAAATATATATATATATCCAACAACAATGCACCAAAATATATATATTTTTATTTTACACGTGGAAATTATTTACCGTTCAATGCAATATATCTTGTGGCAGCGAGAGAGAAAAGTTGAATGCCACGCCAGCACAGACGAACAAAAATTAATGTGTTTACATTTTGCACAGTCTGAAAATGCTGTTTGAATGCGATGCGCGCGCATCCGCGCAGTGTTCACTTTCGATTGAATGTGCGCGCAAAAGTGAGAGCGCACTGCAAGGAGGATCGCCTTGAAATCGAAAGGACTTGGTAGGAATTTTCTCAAAACTCAAGATATTGTTGGCTCAAGTGAGCCGTGAGTTTTTCCACCAGGCGATTTTACTATTGATTGTGATCATTCATGAATGGTTTTTATGACGGTCGTTAGAATTTTATTGCTCTTTTAATGAAACATTCAAATTAAATGAAGGCATTAAAGTGTAGCTAAAAGTAACTATCCTCGGTCGCTTCAATCGCTTTGTCGGAATGATTCATCTGAATTTGCGTAACAAACGATGATAATTGTGTCAAAAAACATCGGTTTTGGATTTGATTTTCCGCTTTGGATGTTTCTTCTGCGCCGAAAGATAGAATGCGAATCGAAAGCGTTTTGATAAATTGTGTCGTTTTTGTTGGTGCTTGCACATCAAACGAAACAGAAAAAAATCTACACTGTCATTTTTGTCACCCGACTCGACTTTGGTTTGTTGTTGTTGTCAACCGAGGAGTGTATTGATATGGACTATCGCATGCGAAGAAAATCTCTGTCACTAATTCCAAATTATATAGCTGCATTTGCTCTGAATGAAAGCCATTGTTTCTTATTACATTTGGAATCGGCAACAAAAAAAATAGAAACGAAGAAGAAGCGAAAGAGGAGGAATTGTCGTTGAAAATGTTCGGGTGTTATTCGATCGATTTGTTAAGGGAATTCGTATCGAAAATTTATGTCATCTCTCTTTTTGTGTTGTTGTTGTGCGTGTGCGTATGTTCCCTTCAGATTTGCAAACCATTGTTCGATTTGTTTTTCCTATTGCTGTGCCGTTTCGTACGTTTGTCTCCATTCACTGAGTTGAAAGTAGCAAAATAATAATCCATTATTATTCGTTGTATTTGTTCTTCTGTACCGATCGAATGTGTGTGTGTGTGAGTTTTGTGCTGAAGATGGCAATGATTTGACAGAAAAAAAAATATTTTTCCAGTCAAAATTGTGCAAGACTCCCAACGGATAAGGAATCGCCACTTTGGATCGTCTGAAATCAATATCTATTGTTTCCGCATTTGCTCAATGTTTTATGACATTTTGAACAACATGTTGAAAAAAAAAATAATAATTAAAATTCTATTCATCGCTTTTATCGGTAATGAAAAATCTCATTTTATGCGCCCTTGAAACGAAATGCATGTGCCCATGCATTAAGACTCTCTCGACACGAGAGAAGAAAAAAAATCTATTAACTTTTATCGCAAGCATAAATCGAAATGTACCGTTCGCTCGTAATCATATCGCCAAAATCTAATGCCACGCCAATAAACAATACGCCTCTATCTCCGCATGCAACGCACAAACAATTCTATCTCTTTCTGAAATGGATTTATTAAAAACATGAAGAGAAATAAAAACAAGGGGGATCTTGAACATTCAATTTGATATTACATTCCGGAGTGAAACTATCCTAATGCAAACATGACCATACGGTTCGTATGAATGATCAAGAAATTCAGAGCGCCAGCTAAGAGAAAATTAAAGCAAAACACAGACCGAGAGTGAATATGAGTCTTGAAGCTTATGATTTTGATTCGATCGGAATTAAAAATGGGATCCTGTCAGAATGCTCAGGCGGTGACTGAATGCAGGCAAACAAAATAAAAATTTCAATAAACCACAAACACTATGAAAAATGATCCCTTTTCGGAAAATGCAACAAACGACAGCAACAACGACGACGACGATGTCAGGAAATGAATGTGTTTGTGTTGCGCTATGCACAAATAGTTTCCAAGCATAGAATGTGATCATTAAAATAAAAAGGACGAGGACGAGGGAAACAGAATAAATGCCATAATTTATATCCAGTATTTCTTTTTCTTTTTTTTCCTTTAGTTGTTCGTTGTGCACTAACACCAATGCCATTTGGTAATTTCAGTCATGCATTCACCGATACATGCACATGAAAATGGAACGAACCGATCAAGTCGAACGAAACGAACCTACAGCAAAAATAATAATAATAAATACTACAGCATAGAGCATGTTTTGGAGGGGGTCTGAAAAACTGAACACCCAAATACCATTACACGAACAAACAATTACATTGGTATTGAATCGAATGAAAAGGATCTACGAGACTTATTCCATATATACATATATACACTAGGCTAGAGAGAGCTCTATGGCAAACTTGCTGCAATGACAACAACAACATTACGAACAGAACATGATTGTACTGCGCACACTGTGTGCATACGTGCATATACATGTGTATGTGAATCGTCGGTAGGTGAGGGTATTTTTTCGAGTTGGTGAAGTGTAAGTGTTCTTCTCTCCCGATCACACAAACACACACACACACATTCACACGGGAGCACAGAGCACTGAAAATAATACGTGGAAAAATAGTGAAGTAGTTTTTATTTTATTATAGTCATTTGAGCATTGAAGACAGCGGGCACGCGACACACACACCAAAGTCTCGTTACAATATCATACGCGTATATTGTTGTGTATCTCGTAAAGAAAAGGAATTAAACAGCTGGCTCATCGGTTGGTTCAGATAGTAAGTGCCAGTTACTCAACGACATCGGAAGCAGAACAACGCGCGTGCGTATCCAACGAACACATTTCAATTTTTTTCGTCGTTTTTAAGAGAAACACCAAAGAAAATACGATCAAAAGAGAAAACTCAAAGGAAAAAAGAAAACAACAAAATATAAATCGTTTGAATCATCATCATCATCGTCGTCGTCGTTATCCACGAAACAAAAGCGGGCGAAACACGAAGAAGAATACACCAACGAGAATTCTTCATTCGGTTTTTATATTATTTTTTTCTCTACGGTTGTGCATCGAATTATACGTGAACACACATTCGTTGCTCTCTATTTTGATTCATGATCTTTGTTAGCGCACACGTTGGTGGCAGGCGGTATTATCTTGTCTTTTGTTCCGTTTGAATTCGACATCACGATTTACATATTTATTTGTGTGCTGTGAAAGAAAAGAAGGAGAAAAAAAAAACACGGACAGACATTAACAAGATAGGCACGGGCCTCTGAACAATTTAATTTTGTGAATTTAAAAAAAAATTGAGTGAATGAACATAGAAAAAAGAACTACAGACAGTTTATTATTAAAAGTTATTCAATTTGTTGAAAAGAAAGAAGTTAAAAAAATACCATTTGGATCGTAAATTCCAAGGGAAATTTATATCATCAGTGATAAGAACAACGAATATATAAACAAGAACAGCATTCAGCATTATTTTTGGTATTGAACTCGAAACGTAAACAGTAAAAATAATTGATTGTGCGTTCTTATCTATGACTCGACTTCGGTGTTTGGAGCAACAACGTTAATTCAACCTTCGCACTTCAAGCCGTGTATATTTGAATGTCGCGTACGTACATAAATTAAATTGATTGTGATAAGCACGTGTGAGAACGCAACAACAAACATAACCAATCGCATCGTCATTTGTTTATTTTGGAGGTAACGCATTTTTCTGTTGACAAAACAACAGAGAAAAATGGCAACAATCAGTGTTTTGTCATATGGAAATCCATCGGTGGGCCAAACATTGGCAAACAACAACGGAATGAAAGTGTCGATTGTCAACAGGACGAAATGTTCGCCAGCGCTTCAAATCAAATCATCAAACAACGTAAACAATAACAATAATCTTAACAAGACGAACTTGAATGTGAAACCAAACAACAAGCGTTCGTACAATGCAATGGCAAAGAAGCAAAAAGCACAACCATTGACGGAGACGAATACGAACATCATGACAACAAACAATGCTACAGCAAATTCTGCATCGGCAGCACAGCGATCAGCAAAATTGGCAAAAACATTGAAACGTCCATTGCCTGAGATCGATACAACGGTTTTGTGTCGTGCAAGTGGTGGAAAATCGAAAGTATTTCCGATGCCAATGGCTGTAGCGCGTCGTAATGCTCGTGAACGTAATCGTGTGAAGCAAGTAAACAATGGATTTGCTGCACTTCGTGATCGTATCCCAGAAGAAGTGGCCGAAGCTTTTGAAGCGCAGGGAAATGGTCGTGGATCGATTAAGAAATTGAGCAAGGTTGAAACACTTCGTATGGCCGTCGAATATATTCGGAGCTTGGAACGATTACTGGATATTGATCATGATTCCGATGCAGGAAATTTGAGCAACGACTTTCAAATGGCCAATGAATCATATCAATTGTCCGACACATCATCGGTATTGTCAACATTAACACCTCCGCCATCGGATAACATATCGAGTGGCAGCTTCGATGAAATCGACGGTCTACCCGATATAACAGTCATTGAGGGTCATCAATACATTCGCATTCCGGGCACAAACACATATCAATTGCTTGAGACAACTGTTGGCGACGAACAATCCATTGTATACGAAAATGACGAAAATATCGAACCAATGATGCAACCGAATCAACAACAGCATTTAATGCTACAGCAACAACAACAACAACAACAGCCAACACCACCAATCGACGACTATACAACTGATTCCATTAACTGTTATAGCAATGATGTGTACAACAGCCAAATTCATATCTTAACACCTGCATCAATATCACCGGGTGCATACAGTATGCAATCTTCAACGGCTGGCCTATCACCTGCTTTGCATGATACGACCACAATAACGATGCCACTGCACACAACGCAATTTCTAACCACAACAGCAGAAGCAGCAGCAGCAACAACAACTACCATGGCCGGTATAAAAAATGAATGCTCACCACTGCCTTCCCTCAACGATAGTGCCTTATACACGAATCCATTAGCCGATCTACCAATTAATCCACACAATTACGGAGGCATACTTACGCTACAAACCAAACTGAAAGATGACATCGATCTCGGCGATGAGCCCGCACTCTCGGAAGAAAGTATGCTCGAAGCGATGAACTGCTGGTGGAGCAACCAACAATCTAACGGACCAATCGTTCATAATTCATAGTTTCATACAAAACACAATAGGTAAATGTACATTTGTAAAATAGCTTGAATTAATTCAATTTTCCTTTAATTTAAATCAGTTTTTATATTAAACGAATATTTCTGAATAAGGAAATCGGAATTTTATCGAAATTTAAGAAGAAAAAACTGCACATTGCCACCTCTGAAAGCAAAAAGCCAAACATTTCCATACTAAAGATCCAATGACAAATATAAATTCCATTTCTTATTGCATCTTTTCCATAGTTAATCTAAATCATGTTCAGAGGTGACACTTTGCAATCAATATATGCATTAGAATCATACGATTTGCATAAAAAGAATATTTTATTTATATTCAGCGACAATTTCAACCAGTGAATTTACAATTAATTTAGATTTAATAGCATTGCAATTAGGCCTATAAGAAACGAAAATTCTTGATCACTTTCCCATTGAAGGCTATTCAATTTAACATAAGTAGCGCATAGAAAGCTGTTCGAATATTTACTTATAGAAGTCATAAGAGTTTTTGTTTCTTTTCATCCTACGTCGCTATCAGCACCTATTCCTGTAACCATTTGCTATCGATTCACTAATATTATTTATTTAACGTTTTAATTTATATATGAGTACGATGTCAAAATTGGCCATTCGCATAGAATACTATATTTAAAAGTAAATAAAACTATTTTTCATATATCAAATATATCCAGAGAACAAAAAAAACCATCAAATTCAAATGTTCTTTTTCTTGGTTGATTGTTACGAAAAGTTCTAGGGCGACTCCACCACACAATGCTTTTTTCTTATTGGGACGCAGGACGAGAGGTAAGTTCGAATTGGATTTTTGGTTCGAGTCCTTTGATCCTGACACAGTGAAGCTCTGTTATGGCCTCTTCTATCTCCTTTCTTTCTTCTTTCTTCTTTATTCTTCTCTGCTCTTGTTTTTTCCTTCTTATTTTTCTTCTTTCTTTTCTCTTTTTTCCGTTATTCTTGTTCTTTTTCTCTTCTATTTTCCTTTTCTTGCTTGTGATCCTTTTCCATATGACGTAGAGTTCAATTTTATTTCATTCGATTCAATTTTGAAATCTGTTTCCTTCACTCATTCATGCCTTTGGTGTTATTCAACCAAAAATAATCCAAATCGAGTAATTTATTCTCTGTTTTTCGCCGATTCCATTTCAAAAAATAATAAAGGAAGGCATCGTAGACGTTTTAATTGAATTATGTCATATTTTTCCATTTTTCAGATGAAGCATACATTTGGTATTCATTTAAATTTTCAATCTCAATTTCACTTCTTCAAAAATTCCTATAGCCGCAATGCCACAAACTTATTCCTATTGCCGTAATGTCTGTAACTTAAGCAGTACTCGTCGTTTAATTTCGATTTAGGATCAACAACACTATATTAAACTATGCTCGTTCGATACACATGTGTGACAGACGACGACTGGGAATTTTTCCGTTGGGCCATAAAGTACATTAAGGTTAGCGCAATCGATGTGTTTCGGTGGGTGAGCTTCAATTTTCAAAGTGTAAAGTGAAACGTTTTCTTGGCATCGACAAAAATTACGACATTTTTCCGTTTTTTTTTTCATTTATAATGCACTTTATGGATGGCATTTGACACAGAAACCAAACATATATATCCGATTTCACATGGGATACATTCTGGCTCGATTTAATGTACCTACATCAATTAACATCGACCAACGGAATTACGTCGTCGTCGACTGTGATATGGCGATGGCGATGACGATGACGATGACGATGACGATGACGATGACGATGACGATGACGACGACGAATCGACAATATTTGTTTCGACTGTAGGTTTTTATCAATTAATTACTCTCTGGAGAAGTTTTATTACAAATTCGACATGTTGAATTGATACAATTCACGCGAAGTCTAGGTTCAACGGATGTTAATGAAAAAGGAAGGCAATTGTATGTTGCAACGGAAAACCCAGGATCATAAATTATGAATTTCGTTGCCCTTGAAACCGAACAGAGCACTCATTTTTACGTACGATCTTTTCGAAAAATCCACTGATATCCTCTCTTATCTCGGAAGCTCGGAAATCGATGTGTGTTGTGAGCCGTATGTAATTGCCTAAATTTCAGACGAAATATTAATCAAGTTTTTATGATCGTCAACGGAGCAGAAATTCCATTGAATCGCATTTTGAATAGGATATTCCATTCTCCATGTTTGGTCTCTGTTCTTTTTTTCGCTGCGAGTTTTCATGTGTAAATCATCGTTTCTCGAGAGAAGAAAAAACTTTCATACTTAAATGTTCTTTTTGTGTTTTTGTGCGGAATAAAAGGCACATTGAATAGAATCAAGCCAATACTTGTTCTGGTTGTGAGTGTGTGTGTAGCGCAGAAAAAAAGAAGCAAGTTTCTTTCTCCGTTGTTGATTTTTTTTTTGTTGCTCTACAGTGCGCGACAAGCGCTAAGTGAATTGAAAACGAGTTGTTTCGCAATGCTGAGCATACAATTTTTAATGTTTCGGCGCACAACAAAAGCACAATGGTGGCGAACAGGATTCGTTGTGTGTGCGCAAGCGCAATAAACAAATGCAAATACGGAGTTTGTTGATTCGAAATATGCGCGCGCGTGTGTGTGTGTGTATTTGTGCGAAAGGACAACAAAAAACCGAGAGAAGCGAATCGAAAGGACCCGTCGAGCCAGACGTTATTATTATTCTTTTTATTCGAAAAACTTTTATTATTATTTCTGTTTGGTTTTTTCCATCTCTCTCTCTCTCTCTCTCTCTCTCTCTCCTCTCGTCATGTTGATTTTGTTCGTCAGTTTTTCTACTTGTGTGCGCTCGTTCGCTCCTTTTTTATTTTCGGAGACGACATGGAAAGCATATCCATTCATTTGCCATTCAATGTGTTATTTGCACGCTCAGTATGGTGTACATTCCACTCGGCGCGCACATAGCGCGATCAATTGTAGTGCACTAAAGTGGTAATGGAAGCACATCGACTTTGCATATGCCCCTGCACATAAACAAGTGATGTGCAAGCCACGAACAACAACACTGCATACAAGTACCAGCCAACAACACTGAACAAGTTTTCGCCGTCGCCGTCGTCGTCGCAGTCGTCATCATCAGTTTTCCAACTCCATTCCGAATAAATTATAGATGTCGACTAAAAAGAACACACCGAGAACATTACACAGAACAAAACTGCCACTAATCTCAAATATGGAGGCTCAACTCACTCAGTCGATCCTTTGTACTTTCGCAATTGTATGGATTCACTCGAACAATATACTCACAAGATTCTGAACAATTCAATAGGCAATATTTTCTCGCTCAGCTCATCGCCATCGTCGTAGTCCTTTTGCTCATGCGCACTTTGACTCACAACGAAAAGTAAAAAAGGAGAATTAAATTGCACCACTGAAATCGGAAAAGAAAACAAGTTTCATGTTATTGGAAAAATACACTTTTTTCTGTTGCCTTCATTCGGTTTCTATTTGCTTTTCATTTACAGAGATAACGCAATTTCAATTTTCATTCAAAATAATTTTTTTTGCAAAATTAATGTATTCTTTAAAGTTTAAACTGGTTTTATTCAAACACTCCGAATAATAATCTTTTCTTTGGTTGAAGAATCGTTAAAGTGTTTACAAACTGTTTTTTTAAAGGTTTTTTGCACGAAAATTTTTCTTGAAGCATGTTCAATCGTGATGTTTCCGGAAGTATTTTGATTCTCTCTGTAGCGAATTTCATTTTAAAAACAGATATTTTGAATAAAATATGCGTGGTAAGCCAATTACATATACTTTTAAAGGAAAAATCCCCACAAAAAGTGATCAGCGACGTTGAAACCATTGATTTCCAGGATATTCCAAAATCCGTATTAAAGACTATCATTAAATAAAAATGAGAAAGTAAATAACGGTAGGAAAACGAGTCAATATATTGTAAAAATAAATTCTTTCTGAAAAGCAATATTGCTTTTGGGAAATAAATTCTAAATTCCGCACTAAAACCGTTATGCGAGTGAACCGTATCGAAAACTCCCTCCCTGCCGATTGAATTCATTCTTTGATCGACACGTAAGCCTTTCCGAGTGCCATAGGTTGTTTATTTGATAACTAATCCTAAGTCGACTGGCAAACAAAAAGGTGACAAATCCAGTAGAAGGTAACGAATTTTAATTGTATCCCATCGTTGATTTAAATTCTTTAAAAAGGATTTAATGTTAGGCTTCAACATTTCGAGACTGGTTCAGGGTTTGTGTTAGTTTTCACTCAATGAATGTGACATTTTTCAGGGTCGTTCATTTTTTGTTTTCTCCTTTTGCTCATATGAGTTTGAATTGCAATTCAATGTATCGCGCTCAGGTAAGAAAACTACTTCGTTGCTACTTGTATCGTAAGTGAAATGGAAGCATCCGTTCGGATCTTTCCTGAAAAGTACACAAAATTTCAAGTAAAGAGAGATAAAATGATTTCCGTGAAATTATTGACCTTTTATTACGAACAATGCGAGCGCAATCACTACAGTGCTGCTGCTTCAGTACAATAAAGTCTGACGGAAAGAGAGAGAGAGAGAGAGAGAAAGAAATCGTGAAGATAAATACAATACCTTTGATTGCTTATACAATTCAACAAAAAAAATCTCTCTTCTGCTTCTTTTATCATAGTGTTCATTGAGAATGAGGCACGCAGCGAGCACGCCTGAATCGACAATTATTTCCTCTTCGGGCCAAATAATGTGTGCAAGCTTCTAATTTACGAACAATTTTTTTTGACACCTTTGATCGATCAGAAAGTGGCTGCCAATGACTAATAACAGACAATTCTGAATTCGAAACCATCCGAGAGAGAGAGAGAGAGAGAGAGAGGAAGTATGGACGTCATTCAATTTTCGATATCGCTTTTTTCTTTGGAAATTCAAGAATGGAAATTATCGCTAATAACATAATTCGCTGTATCAGTTTAGACAAAGAGTCGATCCTATCTCTATTCAAATCATTTCGAAGGAAATCGTTATGTAAACCGGAATTTCAGGATTTTGCTGTCGCGAGAGAGGTTTTTACGTAAATTAAGCTGTTTGATTGGAATTAGGATCAATTTTAACACGAACGAACAGAAACAATAATTTTTGAAAGTTAATACTCTATCTTTTCGAGCGTACTTCTCGCGATCGTCAAAATGATGACTTGTCAAAAGGACTACAGACTCTGGAGAATGCTCTCTTAAAAGTTACCGCTATGCAAATCCTTTTTTGATACTGTTCTTGAATATTAAATTCACATCATGCGTTCGAAAGGACAGCTATTTTATATCATCTACGATATGAGAGTCATTTGAGGACCTTAAACTGAGGTAGCATCAAAACACGAATTATTTTTTTTTGCCAAGCCGAAACTCCTCTGCCGATGGCTCAACATAGATTAGACATTCGAATTTTCAAGAGGATTGTTCTCTATTGAGATTCATCTTTTGATGAATGCTGATGTTAAATCAGTCAAGAGAATGAGAGAGAGAGAGAAAAAATCCAACCATACCTTTTGTAATCGTGTTTATATGAAAAACTTGGAACATATGTTCAGGTCAATTTTTAGCGGCGCACACAGCCCATTACAAATCATAAAAGCGTGATATTACATGAATGACATTTGATACGTCGCGTTATCCATCATTTCTAGTAAAGGACAATAGAACCATTCGTTTTTCATCTCGCTATCAAAGTTTGTAACGGGATTTAGAGTATTTTTACGGTACCCGAAAAAATTCTATTTTCATGAAGGTATATCGAATAATAAAATAGATGCTGGCGATGATACGAAAATTTGAACAAAAAAATTCTTTTGTCTAAAATACATAAGACTCACGAACCATATTCAACATCAAAGTTTTTTTTTCACCCAACCCAAGGCTCCGCATAATCTCTTCTCAAAACGCTTTTGATGTGTATATTGATGATTTGATGGCAACGTTTAATAAAAAAAAAAATACGAAATGCCGTTATATCGTTCAGTCACGCAAACATTTCCATTCGAGTGTGCATTATGTGAACAAAAACTATGCGACCACTTTAATTGCATGCACCAACAACGGCAATGATATTCCCAAATGACCCTTGAACAACACATGAACACAAACGTTTTTTCTCCTTTATCCGTTTGATCGAATTCAAATGAAGTGAATAAAATTAGTGGAAACGTTTATTATGAAATTTTAAAACGGTGCTTGCTCGTTACGTTCGTGTTGCGCTCGATGAACAGATGACACGTTATTTAGGTGCCACATCGAAATGTGTTTAGTTAATATAAACCAATTTCATTTTTGCGTGGGAAATTATCAACAAGTACTTTTCGAAAGATATGAAATGAATGCATTATGTTTGGATTCACCCCAAAATACACAGAAAAATAAAGAATATGATAGGGTTGCTTCTGTTCAGTTTGTTTGTTGCGTAACGTACATTTCGAAAAAAAAATCAACTCTTGAATGATCGACATTAGGCCATTTAATTTCATACAATCACTTTCTCTTTTGCTCCTTTGAGCGAAAATGTAAGTGCTTCAAATTGCAAAACAATCTTTTGCCAAAGAAAGGGAAAAGATGGGTACAATTTATTGTCTAGATTCGATGAACCGAATCAACCGAATAAGTAATTCTTATTAAATGTCTTGAAAAAAAAAAACACATAAATTGGGTTACAAAACCACAAAAGAAACTTATTTTTAAAGGCAGAAAACGAAGGGATGAGTGTGCAAATTGAATTAAAGGATGCATTCAAGGGCTTTACATAAAAATCCCATCAAAAGCAAATTAGTGATTTAGTTGAGATATGAATCTTTCAACGTTATTTTGATTTGTGAAAATATAGAGTGTTTGGGAAAACCCAAATAAATAGTTCGAAAGGATAATTCACAAGGAGACGGTTGCCAACGAAAATGTGTGAGTGACTTCATTCAACGCTGTTTTCATTTTGTTGAAGAATAGTAAGAGTAAGACTAAAGTTATTTGATTCGAAACGCCGATTCAGCGCTAGTTTTTGCCCTAGATATATTTACATAGCTTTTAGCTGCTATAGAATATATGCTTCATTTGCTAATTGATGCAGCCATATCTTTTACCTATGAATAAAACAATTGCTGTGGGCTTAACCAATAGCGTCATCGGAATGATTTATGATAACTGACCATTGACAATCAATTAGTGCGTTAATTGTATGGCCTAGTCTGACCGAAATTACATACTTCAATTCGAAAAGTGGTGCTGTTTAATAGACATCGAAACGTTGTAGCTACAACGATTTTTATTCATATTTTTTCGTTAACAAAATATTGTTTAAATTTGGAAAACGAAATTCATCATTATTCTTTTCGCGAATGTTTTGTGTGTGAAATGTTCCATTTTCCTGTATAACAATGTGCAGACACCTGCAAAAGATGAAATATTCATTCTAACTGAAATCATTAGCAATTATTTGTACTGTATCTAAGTTGAACCCGTGAGCATAAAAACGAATTACAAAAAAAAATCGCCGATCAAAACGTAACATAGATTTGTCGGCGTAACATACAAAAGTACAATTTGTTCCGAATCGAACGAGTAACAAATAGGTGTTTCGCTTTGTTCGGCGACGTTTTTATAAGTCGTTTTTATGCGCACGGGTTCAGTTGTCATAAAGTGTTTTTATCAATCTCTTTAACATCACCAAATGATGACCGCAACTATTTTCAAGAGGATTTAATTAGCAGTTTGGTTGTGCATACAAAACTAGAAAAGTACAGATAAACCTTAGCACTAGCAATCTGTGCCATTTTTCATAAGGCGTCTCCACTCGCATTGAGTTTGTATTGTAAATGTTAAGGTGCGTGCAACGCCCTTCAATGTAAAAAGCAATACAAGTGGAGATGATACACGGGATTTATCTGTACTTTCACGTACAACATTTTAAATGAAGTTGATCAATCACGTCATGGAAACAGGAACGTTTTCAATTTGATATTGATTGATCGAAGTGCTTTATTGGTGTGAGTTTTGATGTTCATTCGAAAAGCATTTCTCTCGATTCTTTGTTGATATATCATTTTATAATAACACATAATTTTATTTAATTGTTCTATTTTCTCTAGGAAAATCATCAACTTCTCAACCATGCACACTTTTCACTTTTACCAACACTTTTTGATCGTGTTAACACAAAGTATGCCAAATATTTGGGAGTCTTTGCGCAATATTTTTGAAATTGCCATGAAATTGGGACTGTTGAACGTGAATGCTTTGATTGAAGAGAAAATCTCCAACATTTTAGCCATTTTTCAAATAACTACAGTTTTATATTCGATGGCTTTCATTGTGTTTGTAATGGAAGTTTTTGTGTGTACTAATAGATACATCAGGAAAGTGTTGGACGATTTGACTTATTAGCTTATGGTTTATCGTTGACTCAATTTTCAATAGAAACGAATATTCACTAGCCGAAACAGTTAGAATAAATGAAATAGTTATTTGTCCCTTCATAATAACACGTCCAGAGAATGTGTCATCAAATATAAAAGCATTACAATCGATTGACGTTTTATTACTAATAATCAAAATAATCATCAGCTAAGTGCAAGCGACTTGAATGCTTTTTCTTTACTTGAAAATCGTTAGTACTGGCCCCAAAGCCGATTGGGAAACTGAAGTTTTGCTCTCTAAGACACTTTCAGTGAGTGTTTTATTCATTTATTTTTCAATATGAAATACATATTACTGTTTTACCTTGATGTTTTGATCGTCAGGTGTAATGTTTTGTTCAATGAGAAAAATAGAAATGGCGCAAATATTCCGACTGAAATTATCAGCAACTACTTACATAAGTATCTTCATTGTGAAGAAAAATTCCTATCAATTTCTTCATCGTCGGACGATGATGATGATCAAAAATATTTCCAACAAGATATTATGACCAATTTAATTGTTCATTCTAAACTTGGAAATTTCACGTACAACATTTTGAAAAAAATTGACCAAAGTCGAGCAGGAAATAAGAATATCTTTAATTTAATTTTTGTTGATACAAGTGCATCGATTAGGTGAGTGTAAAATTCATCATGTTTCCGTACCCAAAGTGAGTGAAACAAATGTTTTTTCCCCTTTTCGTTTAGAAAAATATTGAACCGATCAACTGTGCAGACATTCCATTTATTTCAACATTTTCTAATCATTCTTACGCAAAGTGTGGAAAATATTTCGGATTCTTTGCAAGAATCTTTCGCGATTTTAATGACACTGGGTTTGATGGACGTGAATATTTTAATAAACGACAAAATTTCAACTCTGTGGTCTCTTCATTTCTACAAACCATACATAAGGAATTGCAATTCGTTCGAAATATTCAACATAAACACATTTTCTCCACAAAATTACACAAATGATTTAGATATTCCATTTAATGAATTATTTCCTAGAAAACAGTTTACATTTTCCAAATGCCCGCTCAACATTTCCACGTTTTCGTTTGAACCGTTTGTGATTATTCGTGATGGATCGAATGGATCCACTTTATACGACGGAGTAGATGTTATAATCGTCAGTGAAATTTCAAAGACGCTTAGCTTACAGCCAACTTTCATACAGAGAACTCGAGGAATGGTCTATAAAAATGGCTCATCAACCGGTGCATTAAAAATGGTAAGAGATCGGAAAACTTTGGATGTATTAATGCTTATTCTGTTTTAATTCTTCAATTTTCGAGAAACAGGTCATCGATGGTGATGTAAACATGACCATTGGAATTTATACTCCATCTTTGGAGAGATTAACAGTGATGGCAAGCACACATTCATACATGCAGACAGCTTTTGTTTTTGCATTTGTTCGAGGTAGCAAAACCTCACTGTCGAGATTACTGGAGCCGTTTCAGAATAGCGTATGGATTTCTATTGCTGCACTTCTGGCGATTTCAATTACGATTATTTTATTGACGAAAAAGTTGTCAAGACGATGGCGACATTTCATAATCGGTGGTCGAATAAATCGAACGCCAATTTTAAATTTAATAAATGTTTTGATTGGCAACGTTATTTCAAATCCACGAATGATAAAGAGTCGATATTTTAGTGTTTTTTCCCGATCTTTGACAATACTCTGGATATTCTTTTGGCTCATTATCCGGAATTCATATCAAGGCTCACTTTATGAGGCTTTGCAAAGCCAACGTGTGAAGTCTCCGTATGATACAGTCGAAAAAGTACGGTCGTCAAAAGCTGAAATTCACATAATAAGCACTGCAATCGCACTTATTCCTGACGGTTTTAACAACTCAAAAAGGTAAAAAATTGACACACTTTGAAAAGAATCCATTAAACTCAAGCATTTTTTTTTTCATTCAATTCAAATCTATTTGAATCTATAGACTTGTGGAACATGATTACGATGCAATCACCGCCCTACGTAAGTTATCGAATGGCGATTGGAAAGGTCTAGTTTTCACAAATGATGTCACCATTAACTATTTCAATTTGAAAAATAAATTCAAGCGCCGTGTAAGCTCAAATGAAAAATGAGTTGAACATTTAAATTTTCACTTCATTCATTTCTTTCTTTTGTAATTTTCATTTAGGTAAGCAACACTCGTGACATAGTTCGACCAATCACTCCCGTGTTCTATTTCAACAAAAACTCAATTCTCACGGAGATGTTCAATCGAAAAATTGAAAATTGCAGAGAATCCGGTCTAATATCTCACTGGACAGCACCATACAAACATAAACGCAAAAGAGATAAGCATAAAAAACCAACAACTTTAGACGTTCCGCATATTTTGGCCATAATTCAAATATCTGCGTTTTTGTATTTAATTGCGTTCATTATATTTGTAGTCGAAATGATCAGTTATAAACACGAACGTATGAGAAGGTGTTTGGAATTTTTCACTTATTAGAATTAACGCATTTATATTGATAGAGTTTCGTGGAAATTAATTTGTAAAATCAATACGGCCGCACATTACATGACACATTGTGTGTCCTTTCTTTCTATAACTTATAATCAAAATCATTCAAACCGTAGCTAAATAAGTGTAGCCTAGTGAGCTAAAGTCAACAGTGTTCACTTCTATGCAGGCAAGAGGCATACATGTGAAGCGTAAAAAATTACTTTGCATGATAAATTCTGGCACGAAAAAAGTGTTTTGAATATTTTATTGTTGATTTTTCTTTGGCAAATATTATGATGCACTTGATTTTCCAACACGCAAACACTGGCAGTTTGCAGTAGTATTTTGTGGTTTTGAGTGGGGCAAATGCTAAAATAATTTTCATATATGGCAGTCACTTTTTGTAAAACAACAGACAAATTACAGTTTTTGTGCCGTTTTATGGAATGCGAGTGCTCTTTTTCGCAGTAACATTTTTGTAATAGAATCGAAGATTATTACATTAGGTTTTAAAATTACTGTTGTCAATATAGAAGAAAAGTGGTAATAATTGAGACATTTGGTGTAATGATATAAAGTCAAATGACATGGAATTAGGTCAGGACGGGAAAAAAACGAACAGCAAGACATTTTTACATCCAATCAAATGATTGTGACATTTGAATTGAATGATTCGATTAATTATGATACGCATGAAGATAATCCCATTTTTACTCATAAACTTTATGTGTATTAAGTGTAATTTATTGTTGCTTCAAACAGTAGAAGTACCACAGAACAATCAAATCGATATCCCGATCGAAGTTGTGGAAAACTACTTGCACAAATACATAAGTCGCGAACAAGTGTTTCTTTCAATAAGTTCGGCTGCAAAAAATGACAATCAAAGACATTTGCAAAGAGTGTTCATCACCAATGTACTTCAGCATTCACGAACTGAAAACATTTCCTACAATCTCCTGAGCGAGATTCACCAGTTTCGAAAAAAGAATATGAACATTTTTAACTTGATATTTGTCGATGGAAGTGCTTCGCTGACGTGAGTTTTTGGATGGAAAATCCTCTCTTTGTTTTAAATCCAGAATAGATTTAAATAAAAAATAATTTCTTTTGAACACTTCGAATAAATCTAACAATTGTCATCTTTTGTCTGATTTCCCAATTAGCAAAATCTTGAATAAATCAACCGTTCAAACATTTCATTTGTTGCAAAACTTTTTGATCATTTTGACACAAGAAATTCCAAATGTCCCTGAGCGTTTGCATGACATTTTCCGAATCGCGTTGAATTTGGGTTTGTTGAATGTTAATGTATTGATCAAACACGAGGATGCACTGATTTGGTCTCTGTTTTTTTACAAGCCGTACGTTCGAAATTGTCATTCAATCGATGCGATTAAAATTGAAACATTTTCTCCGGAAAATTATACCAACGATTTGAGTGTGCCATTTGCCGATCTATTTCCGTCAAGACACTTCATTTTCAAATATTGTCCACTATTTATATCGATATTTTCTATCGAACCATTTGTAATAATTCAAAAATCCAATGGATCCATCACATATGATGGTATCGATGTCACAATTGTGAACGAAATTGCAAAAACATTGAAGCTGATTCCAAAATATGTGTGGGCGCCTGATACGCAAACGCGTGGAACTATATATAAAAATGGGACTGCAACAGGGGCACAAAAAATGGTGATAGATGGTGATGCAAATATGACCATTGGCACCTATGCCCTGTCTTTGGAACGAGTCAATGTAATGTCATATAGCAAATCATATATGCAAAATACATTCATATTCGCCTACAAACAAAGTGCTCCACTTGCTACGCCACTCGCCAGGCTCATGTCACCATTTCAAGCGTACGTCTGGATTTCGATTGCATTCCTTTTGATCATTTCGATACTTGTCATTTTGTTAACGAAGAAGCTGCCAATGCGACAAAGACACTTCATGATTGGAGGTCAAATCAATCGAACGCCGATTTTGAATATGATTAACATTGTTATAGGCAATGTGATTTCCAATCCAAGGATGACACAAGGACGATATTTTGGCGTTTTCGCACGCACGCTATCCATTCTCTGGCTGTTTTTCTGGCTCGTGGTTCGAAACTCGTATCAAGGCTCATTGTATGACACGCTACAAAATCAACAAATCAAGTCACCCTATGATACGATTGAAAAGGTTCGGATATCAAACGCTAAAATTTATTTAACTGGCACAGCAATGAATTTGATTCCGAATGGGTTTAATGACGCAAGGTAATTATTTTCTTGATGTTTTTTAAACAATCATTTAGAGAAAGTAAATTTCTCGGTATTATTTTGCTTTCTCCGTTCGAAACAGATTCATGAAGCAAAACATGGATTCTTATAATATTATGACCAAGTTACCAGGTTCTGAATGGGATGGTTTAGTTTTCACAAATGATGTGTCTGTCAGCTATTTCAATTTCGTATACAAATCTGTGCCTCGTGTAGATCATACAAGTGATGTAGTTCGGACCAACGCACCAGTTTTCTTTTTCAATGAACATTCGATACTAACGTGGATGTTCAACCGGAAAATCGAAATATGCCAAGAATCGGGCTTGATCTTGCATTGGACTGCACAGTACAAGAATTCACGGAAAAACGACAAACAAAAACAGCCAAAGAAGCTTGGTATTCAGGGCATTTTAGCCATGCTTGAAATTACTGCTGTTTTATATTTACTTGCATTTATTATTTTTTTAATGGAAGTTTTGAGCCATGAACACACGCGCATCAAACAATTTTTAGATTATTTGACTTATTAGTATTGCTCGATCCAAGACCATGTAACGATATTTTAAATTAAAGGCTTTGATTCTATTAAATATAGAAGATGATATGTTTGAGCACGAAAATAAAATTTTCTGAATATTTTAATGTTGCGTTTTCTTTGGCAAGTACATTATGATACACTCGATTATTATGATACACGTAAACTCTGACAGTTTGAGATATGTATCGAGTGGGGTAGAAACTGAAATCATTTCCACATATGGCAATGACTTTTTGTAAAACAACAATAAAATGAAAGTTTTGTGACTTCGTATGAAATAAGAAAACTTTTTTCGCGGAAACGAGTGTAATAAATCGAAAGAATAAAAAGAATTACATTGGTAATCCCGAACTTTTCCGTACCGTTGGCCTGCGTTGTCCGTACGTACTTTTGGTTATTTTTTGTGAATTTTCTTGAAATAAAGGCAGTGAAAATATAATAATGTAAATAAAGTGAAAAATCGGTCACTTTAACTAAAACTTCCGAAAAATGAAACCTCAGAAAGTTCGAAGCCAATCAGAATCGGTTAACGGGTACCTCCCATACAAAATTGTCCAAAAATCGGTAATTTTACTAAAAATTTCAAAAAATTTGTATGGGAGGTACCCGTAAATCGATTCCGATTGGTTTCAGAATCTTATTTTTCTCCCAAAAAATGAAATCTCAGAAGGTTTGAAGCCAATCAGAGTCGATTAACAGGTACCTCCCATACAAAAGTGTCAATTTTTTGAGGTTTTTCTTAGGGCAAGTACCCCAGGATCAAATCGAAAATGGCTCATCTTCGAACTTAAACTAAGTTTTTTGGACACAAAACTTTTGGCATTTCCAGATTTTGATTATCTCAATTATTTTTTGAGTTATCGTGTTAACAAACACCAATGACGACAACGACAACGACGGCACACGAACGCAAAAGTGTCTCAAAAAGTGGTTTTCTACGCGTTTCATGAGTTTTTATGATGATCTAAGCTAATTTTGCGAAACAAGTTTTCGGGACCAATTCCTATACTTTCCCTTGACACGTTGTGTACGGAAAAGTAAAACTCCGAAAATCGTAATTACAAAAAGTGACATAGAATTCCCTAAAATCATAATAAAATTTCCCAAAAAATGGGATAAAAACATACGAAAATTGACATAAAAATGTAAGAATTTACACGATAATAACAATCAAAATGGGATTTATATGACGAATCGTGTAAAACATTAAAATATCGTGTAATTTTTAATGTTTCAAAGTTGATGCAAACATTTGACAGATGCGTATATCGCGTAATAGTATTGACCAATTCATTGATTTATTTGAAATTACACGATATTTTATCGTTTTTACACGATTTGTCATATAAATCCATGTTTGATTGGTATCATCGTGTAGATTCTTACAGATATTTTTTAGTGTGTACGCTTGCATCGTCATAGTATCCTTGAACCCGAAACATTTGTTATTTTTAGGCCCTGAAGAGTCGCAGATGACTTGAAATGTCTGGATTTATTTCAAATAAATTATCGATTAGAACAAAGACCGAATTGGCTTTCATTTCAAAATCAATTTGAGCAATTTTTCTCGAATCTGTGCCATAGAGATTTTACCACTACGAAGAATTTATTTCATGGAAACAAAAAGTTGGCTGTGTTGGTACGAAATGCGACAGTGACAGAATTTTTTTCTTTTTCATGTGATTTGTATCGGATTGTAAGTATTTCTTTACGTGTGTGTTCATTGGAATTTCGAACTAATTGAGGAGCTGTCTATATTTCTATGGAAAGTGTTACTGAGTATGGATATGATTTTGCATCAGATTCGCTTGTAATTTTTTAAGGGAATGCGTAGATTTGTATCAATATCATCGCCTCCTACCTATACCTTATTGAGTGATGTAAAGTAAATGTGATACCGTATATCCTTGGATCAACTAACACTGTACACGAATAGCTATTGAATAAAGCAACGCAACCAAGGCATGTGAGCCTGAATGTAACGCAAAGGTATGAGTCATGTCGTTTGATCATTCACATTCTAATTTACATCATGTAAGCAACGGTTGATCTGTGCTCAACTTTGGATCGACTTTGAAACGGAATATGTTTTGTGCATGAAGCGAAGTCGTGAAATTTTTTAAATTTGAACAGCCACGTGCCATAGTAACACCACTCAACCTTTCAAGAATGAAAAATATTTACTTTTTAAATTTTTGCATTGAATTTCTAGTTTAAAGAAGGTGATGAAAGAATAAATGTAAACATGTGATATTTTCAATGCAAAATATTTGTGTGAAACGCGAAATTAAACACACGCGCACAGGTGGAATTGTAATTCCATCAATTGTTTGACATTGTTATCTTGAAAAATGTGTGCGATAATATTTTGTGGGCTTTTATTAAAATCGTCATTGTACGTGGATTGAATCATACAGTGTGTTGCCAACCGACGTGGCCACACTTGAAAAGTATATAAGAGGATGCGTTCGATTCGCATGTCCATCAAACAGTTCTTACCAATTGATACGTTCATAGTAAACTTTTAATAGTTCAAAGCTAGAAAAATGCTGAGTCGAAGTTCTTTCACACTGCTGTTCATTGGCTTGATGGTATCCGAGGTGAGTCGACAATTTCAGTCGATTTTTTTAAATTTGTCATGTTTGATACTTTTTGTGGACAATTTGTGATAATTTTTTCTGAAATAATTTAAAAAATGAAAAGTGTCCTTTTTTCAAGTTCTTCAATCGAAAAAAATCTTCTATTCCAAAAAAATGTCCACCGGAAACTTTTATTCTATTAAAAACAGTTGAAAACTGTTATTAATACATAATGTATTAAACTCATCCGTTGTTCCCATTCCAAATGTATCACTTTGATTCTATTTCCACCAGTTCTTAATCGGGGATGTGAGCGGAGCACCATCCGGGAGGAACGGTAAGATTGAAGTTTCATTTATTTATCCAGTTTAACTCTTAAATTCCATATACAAAGCACCTTGTAACGAAGAAATGGGAACCTCATTTATGCTAAACTTTTCATACACATTTTAGTAAACGAAATAGACATAAGGGGAGAGACAGCTCTGCATAGAGCTGCTTTTGATGGTAATTTTGGACATTTTTTTATAAAAAAAAATGTTTTGTTCAATTCGTTTCATTGATCTATGAATATTTTTCATATTCTTTCAGGCAACGTGAAGGAAGCTAAAAAGCTCATCGCTGAAGGAGCCGACCCTAATATTGGAAATAATTTCCATGAGACAGCTCTGCATTATGCTGCTAAGAAAGGTAACGTTGAATACTTATTGTTATTGAATAAAAGATTGACCTGATTTTATCCCATCGATCGGTGCTATTGTTCAGGTCACAAGAGTGTCGCCGAACTTCTCACCAGCAAAGGAGCCAATCTTGACAGTGAGAATAATCAGAAAGAGACACCTCTTCATTATGCTGCTAGATATGGTAATGTTGATTACTCTTTTCGAGTACTATGCGCATTAGTATTGCTTAACAGCAAGCATTGAATATGCTTCGGCCAATAGACAAGCATATCGCAATGCAACTGCCGCGCACACAACTATCGTGCAAACAAACGTCGCATATACAGCCATTGCAACCAACTCACACACAAAACCGACTAGCATATATACACGGGTGTCAGAGTTGTGTGTGATGTCTACTACACTTCGTCAGTGCAGCCCTGACTTTATTTTTTCACTAAATGGGAAATTGGTTTATTTTTTCATCGATCTGAATTATTTTTCAGGTCACAAGAGCGTCACTGAAGTTCTCAGCCGTATAGCAAACGATCTTAATATTAAAAATATTTTTAATCAGGCACCTCTTCATTTGGCATCTATGCATGGTAAGGTTGACTAAATAAGATATCCCGCCGATCTCTTTCATTGATCCGTATTATTTTAGGTCACGGAGGTGTCGCTGATGTGCTTCTCAAGAATGGAGCCAATGCTGATATTGGAGATGATTCGAATACCACAGCTCTTCATTTTGCTGCATCCTCAGGTAATTTTGAATGCTTGTTCTTATTAAAGAAACGATTGATTTGATCTCTTTCATCGATCCGATTTTTTTTTCTAGGTCACAAAAATTTTGCCGAGGTTCTCCTCAACAAAGGCGCCAATCTTGACAGTGAGACTAATCAGAAAGAGACACCTCTTCATCATGCTGCTAGATATGGTAATGTTAAATAGTTATTTTCACAAAATAAAGAATCGGTTTGATCTTTTTCATCGATCTAAATAATTTCTAAGGTCACAAGAATGTTGCTGAACTTCTCATCAAAAAAGGAGCCAAAGTTTATATTAGAAATAATGCGAATGAAACACCTCGTCAGTTAGCTGTTAACCATGGTACTGCTGACTAAATTAAATACCACTTTGATCCTTTTCATTGATCTGTATTATTTTTCAGGTCACGATAATGTCGCCAAACTTTTTATCGGTAAAGGAAACCGAATTAATATTGAAGAACAATTGGAATAGATTCAATATGCTGCCAACAATAGTAATGTTGAATATTTTACTTTTGCGTACACTTTGTTAAGGGAATTGAAATGGAAAGATTTTTTCAATCTACGATTAAATTTTAAATAAAACACCTTAAAGTGACTTTGCTTTTTCAAATTTCAAACATAAATCAATATGAATATTTATTTATAAACGAAATTTTGGTTCGGATGCATTTCGACATTTTTCATCCTCAGCGAGTATCAAACAGAAAAGCAAAACATGCAACAATGTGTTGTGGTGCGAGCGCACGCCAAAAAATGACAACAACTAAAACAATAAAACTCGGTGTAACCGAAACAGCTACTTGAAGTAAATTTTAATCGATCTGAACAGTGGTGACCTTATTGGTGCTTCCAATTGGTTAGCTTTGTCCTCAATTTTTGAATTGATTTTTTGTCCTCAATTTTTGTCGATATTTTCTTAGAAAAAATTGAGGGCCAAAAACCAAACTTCTGCAAATGCGATCAAAATGAAACTTTCATAATCTTATTTTTTCTCCAAAAAATGAAACCTCAGAAAGTTTGAAGCCAATCAGAATCGATTAACGGGTACCTCCCATACAAAATTGTCCAAAAATCGGTAATTTTACTAAAAATTTCAAACATTTTGTATTGGAGGTACCCGTAAATCGATTCCGATTGGTTTCAAAATTTCAAAATCTTATTTTTCTCCCAAAAAATGAAATCCCAGAAAGTTTGAAGCCAATCAGAGTCGATTTACAGGTACCTCCCATACAAAAGTGTCAATTTTTTGAGGTTTTTCTTAGGGCAAGTACCCTAGGATCAAATTGAAAATGGCTCATCTTCGAACTTAAACGAAGTTTTTTGAATATTAAACTTTTGGCGTTTCCAGATTTTGATTATCTTAATTATTTTTTGAGTTATCGTGTTAACAAATACCAACGACAACGACATGAGTTTTTATGATGAGTTTTTATGATGATCTAAGCTAATTTTGCGGAAAAAGTTTTCGGGACCAATTCCTATACTTTCCCTTGACACGTTGTGTACGGAAAAGTAAAATTAGGTTTGAAATGGCTGTTATCGAAGTGGAAAAGTGTTAATAATATTTTGAGACGTTTATTGTAACAATTATAGAATCAAATAACACGGAATTATATCAGGAAGGAAAAGAACGAATAGCATGGCCTTTTTACCGTAGTGCGCTCGAAGCCTATATAGACAATGTTATTATTATATTTGACAATATTTGAGTCGATATCAATGACGATGTGGCAGCGCCACCTATATAAATTCCTTATTAAAATAAGTGGAACTATTGAGTGCGTGCACCATATCGCACGTAAATTTTCAATATGGCGACGCCCAAAGAATCGAAACTTTAACCAATTCCGTAGTCACGAAATATCACCGTACGATTTTTACATCCAATCAAATGATGGTGACATTTGATTAATTATGATACGCAGTCACAACAAACAAATTATTGACTAAATGGTCAATAATGGAATTGTGCTCATTATTAGGCCTACCACAATAAAAAAGATGACTTCAAGTCAAAACCGCTCAGTATTTTTGTAAGATTGTACCGAGTCTCTCGACTCTTCGGGCTTCAACATGAAGATCATCCCATTTTTACTCATAAACTTTGTGTGCGCCAAGTGTAATTTGTTGTTGCTTCAAACAGTAGAAGTACCACAGAACAATCAAATCGATATCCCGATTGAAATCGTGGAAAACTACTTGCACAAATACATAAGCCACAAAAAGGTGTTTATTTCAATTAGTTCCGGTGCGACAAATGGCGCACAAAAACGCTTGCAAAGAGTTTTTGTGGCCAATTTACTGCAACATTCTCGAAAGGAAATTGTTTCCTACATTCTTCTGAGCAAAATACACCAGTTTCGAAGGAGGAATATGAACGTCTTCAATTTGATATTTGTTGATGGAAGTGTTTCGCTGACGTGAGTTTTTATTGAATGAACATTTTGGATTAATTTAAAAATTGTCGTTTTTTGTCTGATTTCCCAATTAGCAAAATCTTGAATAAATCAACCGTTCAAACATTTCATTTGTTTCAAAACTTTTTGATCATTTTGACACAAGAAATTCCAAATGTCCCTGAGCGTTTGCATGACATTTTCCGAATCGCGTTGAATTTGGGTTTGTTGAATGTTAATGTATTGATCAAACACGAGGATGCACTGATGTGGTCTCTGTTTTTTTACAAGCCGTACGTTCGAAATTGTCATTCAATCGATGCGATTAAAATTGAAACATTTTCTCCGGAAAATTATACCAACGATTTGAGTGTGCCATTTGCCGATCTATTTCCGTCAAGGCGGCTCAAATTCAATAATTGTCCATTGTTTGTATCGACATTTTCTCTCGACCCATATGTAATAATTCAAAAATTCAATGGATCCATCACATATGATGGTATCGATATCACAATTGTCAACGAAATTGCAAAAACATTGAAGCTAATTCCAAAATATGTGCGGGCGCCTGATATGCAAAAGCGTGGAATTATATATAAAAATGGGACTGCAACAGGAGCACTAAAAATGGTGATAGATGGTGATGCAAATATGACTGTTGGCAGTTATGCCCTGTCCTCGGAACGAGTCAATGTAATGTCATATAGCAAATCATATACGCAAAATTCATTCATTTTTGCCTTTAAAGAAAGTGGTCAACTTGCTACGCCACTCTCCAGGCTAATGTCACCGTTTCAAGCGTACGTCTGGATTTCGATTACATTCCTTTTGATCATTTCGATACTTGTCATTTTGTTAACAAAGAAGCTGCCAATGCGACAAAGACACTTTATAATCGGAGGAAAAATCAATCGAACGCCGATTTTGAACATGATGAGCGCGTTGATAGGCAATGTGATTTCCAATCCAAGGATGAAACAAAGACGATATTTTGGCGTTTTCACATGCACGCTATCCATTCTATGGATTTTTTTCTGGCTCGTGGTTCGAAACTCATACCAAGGTTCATTGTATGAAACGCTACAAAGCCAACGAGTCAATTCACCTTATGATACGGTCGAAAAAGTACGGATATCAAACGCTAATATTTACATAACTAGCACATCAATTAATTTGATTCCGGATGGGTTTAATAGCGCAAGGTAATAATTTTCTTGATTGATTTCGATATTTGGTTTGACCGAGTGAAGTTCTCACAAATGAGTCTCTTTGATTTCTCTTTTTTTTTCTCTGTTTGAAACAGATTAATAAAACATGATTACGACGCTTACAATGTTATGACCAAGTTGTCAAGTGGTGAATGGGATGGTGTAGCTTTCACAAATGACGTCATTGTCAGCTATTTCAATTTTATGAACAAATCTGCACCTCGAGTAGAACACACACGAGATGTGGTTCGACCCAATATGCCAGTCTTCTTTTTCAATGAGCATTCAATCTTAACGTGGATGTTCAACCGGAAGATCGAATTATGCCAAGAATCGGGCTTGATTTTGCATTGGACTGCACAGTACAAGAATTCACGGAAAACCGATAAACGAAAGCAACCAAAGAAGCTCGATATTCACGGCATTTTGGCCATGCTCGAAATTGCTGCTGTTTTATATTTAATTGCGTTTATTATTTTCTTATTGGAAGTTTTGAGCAATGGACACAGGCGCATCAAACAGTTTCTAGATTATTTGACTTATTAGTATTGTTTGATCCAAGACCATGAATAATGATATTGTAAATTAAAGCATTTGATTCATGAAAGTTTACATTTAACACGAATGCATAATTAAATGTAGAAAATGATATGTTTGATTCTATTTTTTCCCTTCAACTTTACACTTCAATTTTCATGATCGAGGAAAATTGCATATTGCCCCCATATGAACGATTGACGTTGTGTTTGAATACGTTCGCGCTGTTCCGCTGTGTGGACTGTCCCCTGCGCATATGCTTTGTGTATCATAGAGCGAACAGCGCAAATACAAGTCAATCGTTCATATGAGATGCGTGTAAAATAAGCAGCGACCTTGTGTAGATTTACCGCAAGCAATCATTACGTGCAGCGGATATGTGTAACTCCCTTTGGCCAAAGTCACGAAACTAAACTGAACACACAAATAGAGCTTTAGAAACATCGGAACAATGCTGATGATTGTCCGTTTTTATTTCTAAAATGAAATATATTTTTATTTTATTAATTTATTCTTTTTGCGTTAAATGTAACATTTTAACACCAGAAATAGTCAAAGAAGATGAAACAATTGTTCCAACTGAAATCATTGGCAATTATTTACATAAATATCTTAACAGCAACGAGGTATTTCTATCAATAGTTTTATCATCGTCGAATAATGACCAACAGATATTTCAACAAGACCTCGTTAGTAATTTGGTGATAGACACAAAGCTGAACAACTTCTCGTACAACATATTGAGTACGCTTGGCCAATCGCGATACGGAAATATAGATGTTTTCAATTTGGTGTTGATTGATGGAAGTGAATCGTTGACGTGAGTATGAACTAAGAAAAAAAAAACGGTATTTCTTAATTTCTATTTAGTTTCTTTTCTTCTCCTTCATTTCAGCGTCATTACAAAAATTATTTAAATCAATTTTTATTTACACTTTGCTACTAAAATTCAATGTTGATTTTCCCAATTTTCTAGACAAATCTTCAACGCGTCCACCGTACGCAGGTTTCACTTGGCTCAACATTATCTAGTTATTTCAACGCAAAGTGCACCTTATATTTCAGAATCATTGCACGAAATTTTCGCAACCGCAATGAAATTCGGTTTAATAGATGTGAACATTTTGATCAAAGAGTCAAACACCTCAAACTGGTTCGTATACTCCTACAAACCGTACACAAAATCTTGTCATTCATTTGAAATTGAGAGAATAGACACATTTTCATCGGAAAACTATACGAATGAACTGAGTGTATCGGCCGTTAATTTGTACGGGCCAATGTTATTCAAATTCCCATACTGTGGACTTTATGTATCAACATTCTCCTTCGATCCGTTTGTAATT